ATATTATTTTTTGAAAAATAGTATACAAAATAGAACTTAAACGTTTGCTGCATTCTAAAAAAAAACACTAATTTTGAGTTCTGGGATGGTCATTCAAATAGGTCTACGTACAACTAGGACAAATAAACCGCAGCTTCTGTTGATTGGTTAGACTCCATGCGTTCTAAAACACATCATTGAAGTAATACTATGACACATTTAAAAAAAGACACTGTGATCTGAGGCCAATTGAACATTTTTCATATGGCCTTATTAGGAACATGTTACATTGATAAAAAAAAGTCTGTAACTAGAAATCTAGCGAAAATATTATTCTGTACTTACTCCGTAGCTTTCTCAATACATAAATGTCCATGTGAAAATTACATTCGCTGCATTCACTTTATAAACATGTGTATAAACTAATTAAGTTCTAGTCTCAAAGTTATAACGTGACATATGAAATATGTGGCTGGCCATTTTTCGACATATGACGAGCTGCTAGGAAACCACGCAATAATTTTTGATTTGCATTATAGATTTCTTTTTTATTAAAATTGTAATTTTTGAAAATGGGATTCAATATTAAGCAATAAAGAGCATTGGCCTTATTAGGTACATGGCCCTATTTGGGTCAGGTACCTTATTTCAAATTGTTATAAAAAGTTACCTAAAGTTTGGGATAAGGTATTATTATGGAAATATTGAGTGATAACGAAGAATTTTCACTAACACCTCCAGAAATTACAGAAAGGGCGACAAATGCAGGTAATAATATACTACAGGACAAGTCCAAGAAAATTTACGAAAAATTATATGGACAATTTATGGATTGGAGAAACACCAAAAACACATCGTCCTTCTCAGAAAATGTTTTGACAGTATATTTTGAAGAATTACAACAAAAAATAAAACCTTCAACTGTATGGACGCATTACTCAATTATAAAATCTCTATTCAAAGTTAAGCATAATGTTGACATAGGTATCTAAATATCAGTTTTATCAATGGCAGTAGAAAAAATAGTGTATGCAACTCTCATGTAATGGCCATTAATACACTCGCATGTTATATACGAAACTCGCCTGCGGCTCGTTTCGTATCCTACAACATGCTCGTGTATTAATGGCTATCATTACATGATCATTGCATAATATACTATTATATACCGGGTGGGGCACGAAAAACTTTCCACCCAGGTTTTCTCAGGTGTTAGGTGTTTAATCAAAAATCGCTCAGACACGTCAATTTTTGTTTTTTGGGGGACACATTTTGTTGGTATTTTCACCCCCTACCTGTGAACCCCTAAGTGGGGGTAACAGGTACCCTCAAAATTTTAAATGGAAAGAGTAGTCGAGTGATATGTCATTTGGTAGCTATTTTCATTGAGATTATATCCCCAAAGTTTTAAGTTGCTACTATTAACCCTGCCGAAATGGCGGCATGTCAAAGTTAGGATAAATGCCTTTTTTCGATAATCTAAACTGTAAAGTTTTTACCTGTCACACCTATGCGTAGGTAACAGGTAAAAACCACACAGCATTTTTCCATTGATTTTTCCTAACTTTGATAAGCCGCCATTTCGACAGGGTAAATAGTAGCAACTTGAAACTTCGGCGATAGAATCTTAATGAAAATAGCTATTAAATGACGTATCACTCGACCCCCCTTTTCATTTAAAATTTTGTGGGTACCTGTCACCCCCACTCAGGGGTTCACAGGTAGGGGGTGAAAATACCAATAAAATGTGTCCCCAAAAAAACAAAAATTGACGTGTCTGAGCGATTTTTGATTAAACACCTAACACCTGAGAAAACCTGGGTGGAAAGTTTTTCGTGCCCCACCTGGTATGCTTGTTACATTAATTTGAATAACATTTAGATTAGTATTACTAGTATCAGAGTTGGTTAGGAAGCTTGCCTCATTTAGCAAATTACAGATTAAAGAATCACAAACTTCGTAATCATCAAGAATGTCATTGATAGCCATTGTTCATCTTCAGGGTATTTACCTTTTGTTAAGCTCATTTTTTCGTAACTACATACCTGTTCTCCATATATGTTAAGTTACTGCATTCACTCTATTGTGAAATTTACCATGTAATAAATAAGTAGCAACATGTCAAGAGCATATTCAAAACTTTTTAGTTTGTTTTTTGTTGTGGTCAATCAGTTTTATGAAAATGGAGAAAAAGAATATTACTCAATATTATTACAATATTACTGTATAAAAAAAAAAATCATCCACATTTCGAGTATTTCCTACTCTCGGTCCTACTATAGTGTTATTTGTTAATCAAAGAGAAAAAGGTAGGCTACAAATACTCCAAAATAAAGCTATGTGAGGATTATATTGAGAGTAGATCGTTATACAAGAATTTCTCATATGCTGGAGACCTTGCAATTTATGAAAATTTACCAAAGATTAGTTTTGTTAAGCACATTGTTTATTTTCAAGATTATCCATTGATTTCTACCTAGCTATATGTCTAATATCGTTATAGTTATTTATGTATCAAGGGAATTATGAGGGTGTTAATACCCCAGGGCAACGTTTGTGTCCCGAGGGACACCAATTGCCCGTGGGTATTAAAACCTGATAATTCCCGTGGTACATAGATAATTTTATATCCTACTGAATATACTGTATTCTGTCTATTTTTATAAAGGAATAAACCATAAATAAAAGTTCCTATTTTTTCTCAAAGTATTACCTATTCAAGGTAAAAGCGGGAGTTATGGAAATCCTTAACTCCCTTGGGATTTATGATATCTTTAACTCCCGCGCGGAAGTTATAGAAATCCTTAACTCCCTTGGGAGTTAAGACCCTGTTTATGATTATCGTAACCAAGGTATTAAATGGTTATAATAGTTCAGTAGGATATAAAATTTGTAAATGAAGTTCACTATCATGATACTAAGTCCTCATCAAATTTATGTGTTCCTACTGTTAAGAAGAAAGGTACAAAGATAGTTTAGAGAGTTTAGAAGATTGGTGGTAGAATATGTGAAAGAAAACTACAGGTAGTGTTGTAGCGGGTCTTCAAAAAAAAAAAAAAAAAAACAATCAAAGATTGCTTTTATTACGAAAACGTACGTCACATTATTGTCATTATTGGTCAGGATGTTTGACATTAAAGTTCATTGACAAAATTAAAGAAAAATATTGCTAAGACATACATTTAAAAAATCATAGCAATCTTTGATTGTTTTTTTTTGAAGACCCGATATATTTTATGCTTGTTATATAGTAGTATTTTATTGTATTGTAGCAGAATGTTGCTAATAAACGTATTATTATTATCATTCCACACATTATTTCTCATATACGGAAATTGCCTTACAAATTGCTTAAGTTTTTTATATTTCGTAGTCTAAAAATACACCAATTACAACTTTTTTTGTTTTCAAGGTCACTGGTTCTACGTACTTTCAATGATATCCACAGTGGCACTTAATGTATTACTTACTATTTTTTATAAACCCATACTGGTATTTTCTTTGGAAAAATAGTTGTAAACCTTATTGGTGTGTAATTGGCACTAACATCCGTTTTCTCTCTCATCAGACTTGAAGATAGGACTTATTTTGAGCTCTTGTGCAAAAATACCAGTAAGCAGACTATACTAGATTCACTAAAATTGGAACAGCTGCTTGTTTTATGTCAAGAATGTCTATAACAGTGACTTGGTCATGGCCAGGTGTAGAGTTTTTCTTAAGACTTAAGACTAGCTATAGTTTAGGAAATTTCTGACTTATTTGTCAATTGCACATAATAAATACTAATCTGATACTGTTAGGTAGGTACTACGGTTTTTTATGTTATATTTAGGATTACGTCATCGAACAAGGACAGACAATGTTGTCAATGCCTATTTTTTTTCTTATAATTTACCAGAATGTCATGTGTTAATAATTCTGATGACAACTAAGAATAACGAAATGAAAATGTTTATACAACGTTGCGCGTCGTTGCCAACCAAAAACATCTGAAATTCCCCTACTTAAATACGTTAAAAAGTAATTTTAGTTTTTTTAGGTTGGCACTAGAAATTTACTAAATGTGACGTCATCCTAAATATAGCGTAAAAATCCTATAGGTAGATACACAGTTACCAATATCTATAGGTTTGTTTGTTTATCACTACGTCATTATGTTCTAAGGTATTGGTTTCAATATTTTTAATAGTCACATACTATATTTGATTTTTTATCTACCCAATACTTTAATTTTGTATAAGCATGTACACTGCTATTTTCCATTTGCCTCAGCCTCTGCAGTATGTCACCACTCTTAATTTAAAATTACATATTATCTTTTTCAATTGTTAGGGCTGCTTTGAAGAGCTCAGTGTTTCTTTTAGTTGAGTTATGATTAAAAAATAGGTACTTTATTATTGACTTCAAATCTTAGTCTAGCTGTTTTTGGATTGTGGTTTAGCATCAATGCAGTGAACTGATCTCCTGGGATAGGTAGTCGTATTTCATATCATATCCAATCTTTCCTACTATTTCTTTCGCTTGCTAATTTTTTTTTCTGTACCGTGTGTCAAGTTATAAAGTACCACCAAATGTAACTTTTTTATGTACGATCAAAAATAAAAAAATTACAGGTGGTGGTACCTTATAACTTGACACCCTGTACATGATGCCATGAATAATTTTGAACTGGATGATAAAATGTAGCTTTTTCCTGAATTTGCCAAACATGGTATATTCTCGCTTAGATTCTAATGTAAGCCAATTTCTTCAATATTTGCATAGTATGTTGATTTCTTTTGGATAAATAAGGCCGTGCCGGCTTCTAATATCTATATTCGTATTAAACAAAAAACAATGACATGGCCTCGAGAATATTTAGCCAAATTGATTCCTATTATTCCTATCAACACCTAAAATTTAGGATGTAGCAATTCAACCAAAGTAAAGTTGAAAATTGAATTTTTGCAGCACTGTTTCTTAGATAAACCAACTCCTCAAATTATTTTCTCATGCATTTAGAATTTATTATACTTAAATAGGAGAAAACTGCAGAAGATGAGCTAGAGTCATTCAGAGAGAAATGGCAACAAGAACTGAGATCACAGCCCACATCCAGGGAGCTTCTCAATAAAAAAGCACAGACAAAATTCAATTTTTACGATAGTGAATCTCAAGAAGATGTCGCTCGGGCTTTATTTATCAAGGGTATGGATTTATTTTTGGTAATTCAAAGAAAAACTTACTGATTAACTTTAGGAACTGAACTGGAAAAAGCGGGTCAACTTTATGAGGCCATTCAATTTTACCGTAAAGCAGTACAAATTGTACCTGATATTGAATTTAAACTGGACAATAGGCCTAAACCGTTGCAGATTGAAACAAAAACTGAGAATTATGAAGGTAAATTGAACTTGAATTTTTTAATCTGTTATTAAATTTTATCTCCAAAGAAACCCATGAGACTGACAACAATAGCAGCTCTGATGGTGATGATGATGATGATGATGGAGCCATAGAGGATGGACAATTATATGCTAGAATTCAAAAAAAAGTCACGAAAATGGGGCATTTGTGTGCATCGAAATTTGATCAAAGTGTAAGCTTGTTTAGAAAAAAAATACTTATGTTCCTAATTGATATTAACATTTTAGACGACCCATATTTCTAGCTTACCACTAGAAATATTATTATACATATTAAAATGGGTAGTTTCTACCGACTTGGATCTAAGATCCCTTGAATCATTTGGAACAGTTTGTCGTGGATTCTATTTGTGTGCTCGTGATCCTGAAATATGGAGACTAACTTGTTTGAGGTAATAATAAATTGAATACAACTAGAATATTTAACTTCTCGTTTTTCGTCCATAGAATTTGGGGTTTAAATTGTAGTCTAAAACCAGACAATTACGGCTCTTGGCGCAATATGTTCATAGAACGTCCAAGACTCAATTTTAATGGGTGCTACATTAGCAAAACTTCATACATTAGACATGGCGAGAATAGTTTCCAAGATCAATTTTATAGACCGTGGCATTTGGTGACGTATTATAGATATTTAAGGTAAATTTTTGGAGGTGGTTTGTGTTGATCGTTAAAATTAAATTTGGATATTTCTTAGATTTTTCCCAGAAGGTGTTGTATTAATGTTGACGTCACCAGATGAACCAACTCAATGTGTTGGTCAAATGAAAAATAGGCATCCTAGGCAACCAATTATGGTTGGTTATTATAGATTGAAAGATGATACTGTGAGTAAATGTTTTTCATTTAGTCATTTAATTCAAAAAATAATTCATTTTCAGGTAACATTGGTCTTTCAAAGGCAGGATACTGCTAAAACAATGCAAACAACCTATAAAAGAAGTGCAAGGAGGAGGGATGTTGAAAATCCGGAACAAACATTTCATATGGTAAGTCTTCAGTTTGAGAAGAAATTGTTATTGATTGGTGCATAAAAATTCTAGGAATTGAAAATCCAAAGTCGCAAATCTCGTCGGCACGTTAAGTTGGTATGGAGCTACTACTCTATATTCACTAAATCAAAGCAAGGACATGAGAATACTACCAGTTTTGATTTGATACAGAATCGCTTTCCGCCCCTATGGTATTCCAGAGTTAAAAGTTTCACGTCAGAGTCTGATCAACCTTTAAATTAAAGAAAGAAATTAATATTTTTGTATGTGTGTTTATATTTTGAGAAATAAGGTACCATATACATTTAGGCAGGTATGTGTTTGTATTTTAAATAAGGTCTACAAATATGGGGCCTGGGCTAATCGAGTAAAGAGGAACAGTGCAAGTATCTTTTAGAGAAAATTGTTTTCCCGAATTGTCGATTCTCCTTTTCATTCAGGTATTTAGTTTGGATCGTAGTTTTAGTTTTAGCAGGAAAGGCATGTTGTTTATGTGTTTCAGAAATTCAGTACAAAGCTCCTATTATATTAATTTTTCCAGGTGGTTCTAGAGGTATTCGCATTTTAAATGCTACACGTTTTAAGAATTTTCGCTCCATTCTCTAACTGCAGATCGTTTTTAGTAGAAAGAAAAATAGATCTATTCAAGCAGTATCAATATCTGAACCAATTTAAGTATTTGCCCTACTGTGCGCTACTTGTTGTATAGTTTATTTGTCAACGATTTCCAACTGAATATTGGTAATGCTCAGTTTCACATGAAAAAACAACGTGTTAAAGCCATGTCTTTGCGGAAATCAAAATATCCAGTTCACTAAATACAGTACAATCCTCATATTATATTATAGCACCTCAGTGTTTCATGTTTCATACATGAAATCGAACTTTGATATCATTGAGACTTGCTTCAAATTTCTTATAATGTTTTCTGTTGTCAACAAATTGGCTCATAGCTATGTTGGATGTTAAATATATTTTTATTTAACCTTATGAAAGAGCGCGTGTGACTAGTTTGCGCCGTCCATATTAATTTGTATTAATCACTAGCATAGTGCATCTTATTGCATATTCGTTTTTAAAACTAATAGGTAGCAATAATTATTATTGCCTAAACATTCGGAATGTTGAGAGACCACAAATTAAAATGTACAAACTATAAACACTATGTATATGGATATTATAATATTGTTACTGTTTTAAACAGAAAATTTATTTTGAATGTTATTTGTTTTTTCCTTGTAATAATGTGAAAAATACTTAATAAAATATCGTTCATTTTTGGGTTTATTTAATTGTTTTAGGGATTCTCAGACTCCCTAGATAATAATTATTCAGTAAGTAAAAACACAAATATCAAGTTTATGTACAATATATTTCAAAATCACAGCATATTTTACTTATAGATATAATTTTCAATAAATTGGGAAAACTAATAAAGCTTGGTTGTGCTTAATGGCAAACTTAGGTAGCTGTGGTGACAAAAGAAGTACAAGGTACAAGCATCCTAAAAAATAGTATTGCGTATTGCCTACATTTCTCATCAGATTAATTATTTATTATATTTTTGCAATTTTTCAAAGAAATAATTGTTGTTTCATGTTTGCCCTAATTCTATTTGTCATTGAAGATTACTCTCAGTTGAGTAAGTGTGTACTAAAATTTCTATATTACATGGAATCACGCTGGAACTATTTTTTTATCTAAGTATAGAATCATCAGAGGAAATTATTGTTAAATTAGTTTTAGCATTTGCATTTCTCACCCATTGTCCCATAGAGGCAGTGTTGCACTAATCACTAATCTCAAAAATTAAAGCTTAAACTGTGTAAGTTCTAATGAAAATTTAAATACATATTTTAATAAGTGAGTATCTCTAGTTTAATGTTCTAACTAATGAACTCAGATTTTTAGTGATAATATGGACTTTTTTAAATGATATTTTTTTAATTCTTACTTACGAAAAATTTAAATTATCAATCAACAGAATAATTATTGGATGGGTTGCCACGCCGCAAGACTAGAATGTATGGCTTATTCCTACAAGAATTGCAGTATTTTTTAAAACATGCCTACTCTTACATAGGTTTGCACTATGGAAACACCTGATAATTTTGTTTTCTCTATAAGTGGCACTGATTTTTTGCCATCCAATGTAAATCTAACACAGTCGCTCGGTGCATACTCCATACAGCAGCTACCACCAATACGTGCATTATATTATGCGAATTTAGGTACAAATCTACAGAACCTGGGAACCATTTTTCTGGCACATGGACTGCACCGATGCAACCTCCAGTGATAGACACGACATCCTAAAATAATGACATATAATTATTTATCAATAGTACAGTACACTAAAATAAGACATGAAAAATATAGGAATACTAAATGGATTTCAAAGCTTTTTTCTGGCTGTGTTTCCAAGACCAAGATAATAATAGTTTATTCTTCAGAAATTATCGCTTTTCATTAATATTTTTTGTATTTTAATAAAATAATTAGATAGAACCCTCGGCTATATCGAAATGTTTGAAAGTAGAAATCTTAGAATAAATGGTTTACACATTTTATCTATTCTATCCACCAAGCAGAAACTGTGAAGCAAACTCTGGATGCTAGGACTTTGTAAGTTTTTTGCATGCTTTCAGGCTTCAGCTGCAGCTGCGCACAAACTTTGTGCCTGGAAGCTTTCTAGAAAACTTCAATCAGTCCCAAGATGTGAGAACCATTAAGTTTTAGGCAATCATCACTTGAATCTGCCAAAAATGTTGTGTTAGTCTTTGACGCAACATAAGTTTCCTCCGCAGCGTTGGTCATGTCAAGATCTTGAGAGCACATTGTAGTTACACCTCCACTGCCTAAATTTGGAAGTATATATCAACATAAATGTTAGCCAGATTGTCAGTATAGAGTTATGCCAGGTCATATAAATACCGAGGAAAGGGCTCATCACTGACTGGACGTAGCATCGATCATTTTCATGCAAGAAAAATTATCAGCAGAATTTATTGATGGATAAACTATTTCTACATACAAGAAAATAGCTATTTATATAACAAGTACAGAAAGTAAGGCTTTATTGTATATAATTAATTTTATGGCCAAGCGAGCTTGCGAGCGAGACTATTGAATAATGTATCAATAAAGCCTGTTTATATGTAAGCGTTATATACATGATGTTATGTACGATCGCGACTGGTTTTTGTTAAAAATTTAAAAAATTGAATGAAAAAATCAGGTAGTCCAAGTAGGCAATAAAGTAGCACTTTATTTTACAGTAAAATAAAGTGCTACTTTATTGACGCAAAACTGTTCTATAAATAGCACTTTATTGGTCAATCAGACATAAAGAATATTAAAGACATATAGATTTGGGTGTTATCTAAGCTTGTACCTGTAAAATGACATGTAAAAATGCAGCTGGATCCCCGCCACCTATACTGGTTAATCTCAAGCACCACAAGCATATTCTAGTTAAAAATGGCAGCAAGTAGCATAATCGACGATCCCATGGAGACCATGCTATCATTGCCTGAAAATATAGTAAGTAGATCACTACACTAATATTTTAAAAACTAGTCATAAGATACCTTGTATAAGCCCCATATGCTTAATAAGCAATAAAACGTTATTATGGACCAACTCAATACTAATGGAAGGCATTTTGTGGAAGCAAAAACTAATGGAAGAGCGCCTATAAAGATTTAAATAATTAAGCCGCAATTAACCGGCATTATAGATGAACTCACCAATACTTTGACTAACCCAAATCCCCAACATATCGATTTGTAAAAGGATATAATAGGCAAGAGGCCCATAATTTATGTTCATAAACATGTGATAAACCAAACTGCCTAACCATGGGCATAAAATGCCAGCTATGTGACACCAAGCCAAAAAAGTAAGTTCTTTTGAGTGCCATGGAAGAACATCAGGTACTGTTAGGATAATGTAAAATATTGGAATAGCTAAAAAAAGAAGCATTATACAGGTTTGAAATACATTTTAATATTATTACATACCGTGTGTTATGATATTAATAGTTTCATTATGCCACTGAAACACACTTGTAACACATCCTAAAGGAGATTGTAGTGGACGGTATCCTGTTAAAATATGAGGATTAAATTGCAAGTGGTCGGGCATTTCATTAACATAAAATAGTTTCTTAATTTTCTTTTTTGGTTCATCATTTTCCTGTATTTCTTCTACGAGGCTTGTTTCAACAAATGCATCTTTAAACTTGATGCCTTCTTCTTCCCAATTTTCCTCCTTGTTATCTTTGTGTTCCAATTTATTTCTCAAACGAAGTTGTTCCTCTGTGAAAATTTTTATGACCATATTAGTGCAAATGAAGATAACTGAAATTTTTTAATTTTTTCAAATAAAATTAAACTGAATTACTTATTTTAATTTGATGCAGTCAGAATGACATGATTATTAGTAACTGTGACATTGCTGACCTAATTTAAAGCCGGACAATGCCAATTTTGCGCATTCGCGTAACGCTATTATCCAGGCGACTACATGTAGGTGATCCAGAATATTGATTCTTGTTTCCAGGAAATGCACTCACAAAAAAAGGCCGTAGCTTCACGATGAAGCATGTTATTGTTTTCATAAAATATAGTAAAAATTAGTTTTACTTTCCCAATCATGAATTTAATTGGGATCTAAAAATTTGCTAGATTTAACAATATTTTCCAGAGAAAGCAGCGTTGATGAAATTGAAAATTATACCTAATAAAAGCTTTAAATCGGAGAAATCCATTTTATTTTTTACTGGACCTCTTTGAATAAATATCTAATTTAGCAATTTATATTGCGAATTCATCAATTGATTTTGCGAATAGTCAACTGATATTGCGACTATATCAAATGTAATTAGGAAAAGTTAAATATAATAGCGATTATATCAAATGTAATTGAGAAAAGTTAAGTGTAATTGCGAGTATATCATATGCAATTGGGGATAATCAAATTAAATTAGGAATATATCGAATGTAGTTGCGAATTAATCAAATATAATTAAGAAATTATTGAATATTTTTGTTACTCAGCCTATTGATAATTCTTCTTTTCTTCTTCTCTCAATTCTCAATTACATTTGATAGGTTCGCAATTAGGTACATTCGACTATTCTCAATTTCATCTTATATAATCGCAATATCAATTGAATATTCTCAATTAGATTTTATTTATTCACAATATCATTTTACTATTGTTAAAATTAAGTGATATATTCGCAATAGCACATAAAAAAGGTATAGAGTATAGATATTTCAAAAAAAGGTTCACTGCTGGTGCTGAAAAACTTGATATCCAAGAATGAGTGATCCGGGTTGCACACTGAAGACCTGAAGCATGGCTCAATGCAAGGAAACTAAAACTGAATGAGGACAAAACGAAGAGAATATTTTTTTCGATCAAATTTTTGGGGATTCACTTAGATCAAACATTCAAATGAGACGATCATACCATACCGACGAGGTGTCTGGAAGTATCAGGAGCAGGTTTTTTTCCTGAGAAATTTTGCTACTCGCTGGAGACCCTAAAATTATTGCGGTATAAATAGTGATGAAATACCTGGTAAATATATTTTAGGTAAATAGGTACCTGGGTAAATACTCGGGTAAATACCCATAATGGACAAGTGAATAGGTTTGGAGCACAAGGTTTTTTGAATATTTTATTTGAAATTCAAATCTCTTTGAGTTGTTATAAAAATAAATTAAAACAACAAGGATTTTTTAGCTGCTAACCCTTTGTAGCCGTGTTATAAACGGTAACTGAAAATATTGTGTACTTTCAGTTACCGTTTTTAACACGGTAACAAACGGTTTGTCGCTAAAAAATCCTTAACACATCACTACACCGTTTCCACATGTAATTGCGAATACTTATAGCAATTTATATTGTGAATTCATCAATTGATTTTGTGAATAGTCCAATGATATTGCGACTATATTGAATGTAATAATTGAGAAAAGTTAAATGTAATTGCGAATATATCAAATTTAGTTGACAAAAATTAAGTGTAATTGGGAATATATCAGATGCAAATGGGGATAATCAAATGTAATTGCGAATTAATCAAATATAATTAAGACGTTATCATCAATGCATATATCACAATTATCGGAAAACTCCATTTTTGTGTCGCCTCTCTTTTGACACAAAACTACCTATACATATGTATATGTAAACATAAGCTTTCCTCAACAACAGACTTTAAAGTAGACGACTTTCTCACCAACCGCTTCTATCAGGTGATAGTCAATGGTATTTTGTCCGATAAACATCCGGTTATGAGTGGGGTCCCTCAAAGGTCGGTTTTGGGACCATTACTGTTTCTGGTTTTTGTTAGGGATTTGTCATGGAACATTATTGAGACAAACATCATTTTCTTTGCTGATGATACCAAGGTGTTCTGTAATCCATTGTTGCAAAGGGACTGCTTGAATATGGATCTAAGGCGAATTGAGATATGGACGGACCAGTGGTGCATGAGGCTCAATGCATTAAAATGTATAATACCTACTGTATATTGGTCCGAATAATCCACATGAAGCATAGTTCCTAAATAATGTTCAGCTTACTAGCGTTGCTGAGCAAACGGATCTGGGCGTGCTGATTTCTTATGATTTGAAATGGGAGCCCCATATCAATAGGATAGTGAAAAAGGCCAATAGTTTTATTTTCATGGTGCAAAAGACTTTCAAAGATAACTCTGTTCAGATCGTTAGGAAGTTGTACGCCTCCTATATCAGACCGAAAATCGAGTATGCTTATAGTATTTGGAACCCTTACTGCATCAAAGAAATAGAAATTTTGGTAAGGGTTCAAAGGCGGGTTACCAGAATTCCATTCGAGTTGAGAGGACTAGTACCTATCCTGAAAGACTGGAAATATTTGGGCTAACTACTTTGAAGCAAAGAAGAACTAGGGACTAGGGGTGATCTGATAGAAACCTTTAAGATTCTGTCAGGCTACTATTCTTGTGGCTCGGAAACTTTGTTTCATTTCAATCGGAACCAGCAGCTGCGCGGACACTCAAAAAAATTAAGCAAGGAAAAATCGGCATCACTTCCAAGAAAGAATTTCCTCACCAATCGGATTGTGTGGTCATTGGATTGTGTATATGTGGAACTCACTTGAAGAAAGTACAGTATCCGCAAATAGTGTAAAATCTTTTAAAAACTGTGTTGACCGTTATTTAGAGCAAACAGCCCAGAATTTTGTACATTACGGTGCCTGAAAGTGTTCACTGAATTTTTGTTTTTTTTTTTTTCTTTCGAAATGTGTTCGGACCTGTGAGGTATCTATCCACCATAACAATGTGCTCCATAATCACGACGAACAATCAAATCAAATCAAAATATACTTTATTGTCTGAAATAAAATTTCATTAATAGTGACAAAGCATGCTTATGGACTAAATAGTCTAAAAATAAATATTGTTGGATAGCATGGTAATATTAATATTAAAATTAAAATCTTTCATTAAAATAGTCGTTTAGTTTGTAATAGGCTTTACCACACAAAAAAGTTTTTACCGCAAACCTGAATTTTTAAAGAATTGCAATTTCCCTTAAGTTTGCTGGAAGATGATTAAAAATCATAGAGTTTCGGGTCAGTGCTGATTTTGGGATAGGTGTTCGAATCTGCAATCGTTGCCTATAGTTGCGAAAGTCGCTGAATTGTTTAGATTACTGTAGTGGTATTTGTGCATTAGGCAGGCTGACTCAAGGATAAATATGCAGCAAACTGTTAAAATTTTATGCTGGATAAAAAGTGGTTTACAGTGATGTTGGTATCCAATCCTACACAAATACCTTGAAGCTCATTTCTGAAGAACAAAAACAGACTCGAACAGCCCATCTGAGCAATTATCCCAGAATGAAATGGCATATCTAATGTGCGATTCTACCAGCGAAAAGTATACCAATTTCGCAGTATCCAAACCTAGTTCATTCACCACTATTCTTACTGCGTAGCAGCCACTGGTAAATTTATTATTTAAGATTTTGACATTCTCATTAAACTTAAGATGGTTGTCCACATGGATGCCCAAGAACCTACAACTTGTTTTGTTTTCAATTGGCTGTGCTTCCAAAACCAAATCATTATAAGTGAATTTGAAAGTTACTACATTGGTTTTTTTAGTGTTAAAACAGTTTGCGTCACACCATTCCTTGATGAGCCTCAGATCCTCTATAACTTCCTTTAAATCATCAACATTCTTTCCCCGCTAAGTCAAGGTGTTATCATCAGCAAAAGAAGTAAGTTTAGCTCTGATGGGTAGATAACTTATGTCATTTAGGAACATAAGAAATAAAACTGGACCCAATACTGACCCCTGAGGAACGCCAAATTTTAATGGCATCAGAGATGACTCTTCACTGCCTATCCTAACTCAGTGTTTCCTTCCTTCAAAGTAGGATTCAAACCACGAATATGCGATCTCTCTAAAACCATATTTTTATAGCTTATGAAGCATTATGTTATGATTAACACAATCAAATGCCTTAGAGAAATCGCAAAAGACCGTTGCTACAGCTTCGTTTTCATTTAAGCCTGTATAAATTTCCTCAAAAACATTGAACATTGCATCTTGAGTGTTTTTAGTGGGTAAAAAGCCGAACTGTGTGCTACTTATTATGTTATGTTGGGAAAAGTAAATCAACATTCTCCTCTTAACTAATTTCTCAACGATTTTCGATAGAGTCGACAGTAATGATATTGGCCGATAGTTTTATGGCTCACTTAGTTCACCACCCTTGTGTAAAGGAATAACTATGGCTTTTTTAAGGCAATTGGGAAACACTCCCGTCAAAAAGGAAACAGGGTGGTATGAATAAAAACAAAGTACCTACTACTACTAGTATTAGTATATTCTTCGCAGTATTCACTTCACAAATAAGCATTTACTAATTTCCGGTAGTTTCGAAATGTAGTATCTACTTCGTTTTGAAGTAAATACTACGTAGAACATACTAATACTTGTAGTAGTAGCAAGTACTTCGCTTTTATTCATACCACCCATTGATACGCTCGGCCAGCAAATAGAGTGCATTATCAGGTGAAAGCTTAAGCAAATTGACTGAAATGTTATCATACCCACAAGATTTTTTGTTTTTAATTTCTTTAAAAGTGCAAAGAAGCTCATTTAGGTTGGTTGTTTCCAGCACAAAGGTGTCATTTATATTAATATCTGACATGAATGAGATCAGATCTACACTTCTATCAAGATGTTGTTGTAACTTTTGTGCAATTGTACAGTAAAAATTATTTAGTGCATAAGGATCCAAGTCAAACTTTGGCTGCAGAACGGAATTTTTACCAGTAAGTTCATTCACTAATCTCCAATTTTCTTTAGTTACATTAGATGACGATTCGATTTTTTTCTGCCAAAACTCCTGTTTTGCCATTTTGATAATTTTTTTGTAAATGCTTTTATATTTTTCAAAATAAGCTAAAAACTGTGGATCGCTAGTCAAATTTCGAATAATTTGAAGTGAACGGAAGTTTTTTGCTGAAACCCTTATACCAGTTGTAACCCAAACTTTTTTGCTTTTAATTTTAATTTTTTTCAACGGAAAGCAATTTAAAAAGATATTGCTTATTTGGTTATGGAATGCGTCAAGTGGGGATTCCGCAGCAAGAATGGACAACCAATTCAATACCGAACAGGCGGCTTTGAACTTTTGATAAAATCATATTGAGTATAGAGACTAGAACAATAGCTACATCGGATTTTCCGCTTGCTATTGATGAACAATAATAACAATAATAATAATATTAATAATTTATAAACCCAGTTCATTAGATAGATTTGTTCGTATTGTAGTGTACGCACATCTGCCTTTGTGATCTTTGGTTTGGACGTCACTATTTGCGAGTAATGAAACAACAAAATAAATTAATGAGTTTATTGATAGTATTGGAACAAATTTCAGAAAAATTCATATCCAAATACATACAAACAATCCAACTACAAAAACATCATGACAATAATATAATTCAGTATAGAAAAAAAGATTCCAAATTCAGATCCATGGGAAATCCGACGTTCTTTTCTACAACAACTTCCATATCAAAAAATAGTACCTAGGTATATAAACTTTCTCTACATTTCCAGTTTTAGATTGGGGCTGGCCAATGGTATCTTATCACAACTTATTATAACCAATAGGATAAATATTTGGTAACATTTCTTTTTGTAATTAGCGTAAAATTTCACAAAATATATGTTTTGAAGTATGTATTAAAATATAGATGATTGAAGATTTTCCATTCGAAAATAAAGTAAATTTCAGATTCATCTATATTAGGTATCTACTTTTAGTACTTTTACATTCAATTATTTTTTTTGGATCTATATCTAATTCCATTTTTTGATGTATGGATGAAAATTATTCAAAAAATGGTTACCACATTACAGGTTCTATATCTTAGCATTAAGTACATTTGATTAGCATGTTTTAAGCAAAGAAAATAATGTAGTTAGGCTCCTATACAGGCAAGTCTAATTTATAGGCTATTTTTCCTAAAAAGTATGAAGCTATGAAAAGGCTGTTTTACTGATTACAGCTTCGGACACATATTGCTGCACTCAACCATTCATTGTTAACCTGTACAGAGTTCTTTCACTAGATACCTTGTAGTTTGAGAATTTGTGTTTCTCATTGGTGGGATCAAAATGAAAATAAACAAAATATCCCTGGCATCATTCCTACATCATTTTTCAAATAGGAGACTTACATCTAATGTAGTATTGTATTGGATTGGCACAGTTTGAACATGTTTGTGCCTTACTCAATATAACTGTGAGGCTTTGAAGCTGGTTGAGATGGAGTGACTCAGCGCTGGATGAAGTATCTCAGATGTCTACCATTATAATAATTTTATCAATATACTGAGGAACTAGAGTGTATCATTTAATCCCACAGGGCAACTTTCGCAAACGAGATTAGAATGTAATTTTGAAAACAATATTGCCAAATTATAATAATTCAATATACATATTAATAATTGATTATGTAAATTGTCCTGAAACTCATTGATTTCACAAGTTTACCAAACAACAGAAGGATTTTAGTCCTTCTGTTGCATAGTTGCATAGTTTACACCTGAAATTACAGAAAAATCATTATTTTACTCAGTGTAAGTTGCCTATCAAGACTGTTCTGTGGAACCCATTTTGAAGCTTTTAAAATCATTGAACTGTCTCAAACTTTGTATGGCCAAACTACAATAAATCCTATTTCACGAAAAAAAAAAAAAAAACAGAGCTCTTGTAGGATGATGTGACACATGGTGCGATTATGTGTGTCCCTTACTACATTCTAATTTTTTGTTCTTATAATACATATACTATAGATATATAAATTCTTAAATTGTTAAATCTCTGTGATAATCAACGACATCTACTACTGTGTAGATAAATATTTCCATAATTCTAAACTAAACTACCAAAAATAACGAATAGTGTAAGATAATACTATTCTGGTGCGCACAATATTATGAAACTTAATATAGATAGGGCAAAGAAAATATGTGTTTATGAACAAAAATATTACACAAGAAATGGCAAACAATTGTTTTTCTTTAAAATTCAAAAATACTGGCGTAACAAATTACATTATTCATTTTTACATAAATTGTAAGAAAAGCCCTGCTTAAGGATATTCAGCTTTAGTAAAATTAGTCTTGTAAGGTCAGTCAGAAGCGATGCTAGAAGTGATGCATATTTTTGAACTCACTTTTGAGCTTTCAATATCATTTTTCTAAAATAAATTGTGCGGACGTTTTTGACTGGTTTGTCTGTATGAAAAGGCAGTAAGTTTTAAAGTAACAACTATTGGCAAATATTTAAATTTTAGTGATAAAAAATCCATTGTAAATAGAAAATGTAGACACAAACAGTTTCAATTGTATCAAATATTCATCACTGAGCATCTATTTGGCTAAATAAGGCAGTCAGTCAAAATTATTTTACATAAGTAGATCAGAGAGAATAAATAATATGGCACATAGACTTATAACAGAAGAAGATACTAATTATTAGTACAATATTTGGTTTCAGACACCAAATATAGGGTTTAAAAATCTTGTGTTGGATTAGGACCCAGATTGAAATATTTTTCTAAGTTGGAGTTGAATGAAGCTGAATTTCAAGGGTCTGCTTGCTTAAGCAGTACTTATATTTATATCAGCCAACCTGAGTTTAATCCAATTTGATTTTTTAAATGCAAATGATTTATCAAAATTATTAAGCTACCAAACAGCACATAGTATTTTCAAATGAGTGTAACATTTTATAAATATTTAATGAACAAATTCATAGAGATTCTAATTAGAGAGCAGAGGTACAGGATTACTTTATTTGTACAATTTAGGCAGTAGAGCAAAAAAAATACTGTTGCGATATTATCTGCTACAAAAAAGTTTAAGAAAAACTGGAGAAGCCAAAATATTGCAACGGGTTAAAAATAAATTTAAGACTTATAGCGGTTTGAGCTATTCATGGAAAAGGCCAAAATAAGCCCAATGAAAAGTCCCAAAAGTTTTATACCAACTACTGATCCAAAAACAGCAAAAATAATGGTAAGACTGTTTATAACCTTTTCTCTGATAAGAATGTAACATCCTTTATCGTAAATGTAATCGTAGTTGGGAATTTCGCTTATTTTGATGCTTTTAGTGTGAGCTTCGCATTGAGAGACAGCTATATTTTCACGGCAGCAACTTTGTGGTATATTGTATTCAGTTGGTTTCGAGATTATTCCCAGATTGATGTCTTTGTTACGGGACCAATCCATTGGGTTGTCAGCACCACAGCAATGCATCTAAAAATAACAATTATTATTCGGTTGAAGGGAATTTAATTGCCTACTTATGGTTTAAATTAATTGTTTTGCGCAAATTAGCAATGCAAACGTGTGGTAATCATGGTTATTTATAGAATTATTATTATTTCAAATAATACGCTACCTTTGATTGTATGGTATCCAAAATCTGCTTTATATTCGGATTGGTATCATAATTTACTTGTACAGAGCGTTTTACAGATGCATGAGTAAATTCATCCAGAGTATCTTTGTTCACCCAAATCCATACTCCAGAAGCAACTTGCACAACAATGATGATCAGCAACAGAGAGAAAGACTAAAACATTTACAAATATTGCCTGAACAGTATGCAACAAATTGGTACACTTACTAGAACTAGGGCGCATTTGCTTTCTTTACACACACTGTAAATCCCCAAGATAGAAAGCAAAATAAGCATTATCGCAACGATGAAATAAATCGAGGCAGCAATGGTAAAATCATCGGGTTCTTGGGTGAAGTGTAGTGGAATTGATGGGTCCAGTAAGGTCCATATTATGACGATGATTGCAGATATACCCAAAATCTATTAAAAAAAATATTATAGCATAAGTAAATTTTATTCTAATAGTCTATAAATTCAAACTGAAAATTTGTTTTATTGTCCAAAATGTTTGTACATTTGATGACAAAGCACATAATAACTTCTTTATTGTCCTAGAATATGACGTCAAAAAAAATTAAGTTAAAAATATTATGTAACAGTAATATTCAAAAAGCTTATAGCGAGTCAAAAAGACTACAGCTGTAAAATCTCTACATCAAGTTTAAAATTAAAGAAATATGCTATCAGATTACTGCCAGAAAAATTTTGACATTATAGCAGCACTTTGCAGCCAAATAGCACATAAAGTTTATTTGGGAGCGCTTAATATGAGCCTACTTCCATCAGACTTGTTGGCAGTTTGAGATGAGCCAAAAAACAATCATCTATGTATAGAATTTCTTTGATATTTTCAGGTAATTCTCCAAATCATTTATCAAAACAGTGAAAAACAGTGGCGATTATTTATCTTCCTGGGGAACACAGGTTAAAATTTGACCATTTGATCACATCCTTTATCATTTGCACCATGATCTGACGTACATCCATGTATCAATTTAGCCAGCTATTTATGTTGCCTCTGATACCAAGACCTTTCAACTTTATACAACATATAAAAAGAATTCCTTCACACTGTAATATACTTGAGAAGTAAATTTTTAAGTAAGCGTCATGAGTCTTCAAGGAATTAACCAATCTCAGACTAGTTCAAAAATGAATGCCAATCTTTCCACCATCAAAAAACAGGGACTTCCCTACTAAAGCACTTCTTGGAAAGCGAGTTGAGTCTGACGAGTCATATGCTAGGCGTAGTGATGTAAAATGCTCGAGCAAGTATTTTAGGAGAACGTTCTCCGAGCACGATCTAGAATTAACGAGAATAAACGAGCAAAAACGAGCAGGACCCGAGAATTTATGCTTTTTATCAGAAGCTGAATAAAACAAAACATTTTTCTAAATAAATTCTGATTTTTCTCAAATTTCCCGAAATTCCCAAATTTCTCGTGAAAGTTCTGAATATTCTGAAAATTCTTGATAAATGTGCTGAAAGTTCTCAAACTTCTTAAGAAAATATACCTACCTAATACATAATTAATCACATAATTTGTGAATTGTGTCTTGTGTCATGTTTGATAACAATAATTATTCTAATTTGGGGTTTTCTGTGAAACTTCAACATACAATTATCATTAGGATTCTTTTTTTTTTTGATAATAAAATAAAATAGTGATTTTAGTTTAAGTATATTCCAGTACAACGCTACCTTTGCCTCCAAAAAAAAATAACTATTGCTGCTAAGTTGCTTCCTGGTTCTCGGGCTCAATATTCGATATATCTTCACCTTCAACAGCTTCCATAAATATATCTCTACTTTATGGCGTCATGTGATTTTATTGGTTAGGATCGTGCTTGAGAACGTGCTGAATATTCTCTATCATGCTCATTGTGCTCCGAAGGTAATATTCAGCACGAACCTTTTTTTCGTGCGCGAACGTTCGCGAATGTTCTCGAAAGCACAATCAGAACGTTCCCTTGTTCACATCACTAGCTAGGTGTTAGGATTCTGGAGCCTAATAGAATTTTTAAAAATGTTTAAATTTGTTGAGCCGCAAAGTGAGGTTTCAAAAAATCGCCAGAAACAGAAACATGTCATCTAAATATGTGAGTCTCAGAATCTTCAATAAACATATAAAAACAAAAATACTGCAAAACCAAGCGATTGGAAAAATCGATTTTTAAGAGTGATACTTTTGTTGTTTAGCGTTAGGGTTCCTTGTATGTACTTCTTTCCACTTTTAGTCAAGTCTTTATGCTTTTATTTAATCGGCAATTTGTTCATTTTTTTAGAGTTAAATAAACTTTAGAGCTAGGAACTGGTCACCCAAATTAAAATTACAAAGAACATAAACTATCTCTAGGTAAGGATTTATTTGTGTATTCTGAAAGATCTTCTAAAATTTCTTTTCTCCAACCATTGGGATCTTGGAACCTGTAAGAGATACGAGATCGGATAATTTAGATTATACAACTCACTGTACATTTTTCCCATAAGACACGAGAGGCTTAATAAGTGATAAGCCTTTGGGGATTATCGCGCTTGGTGGCAATATTATTGTTCATTTGGCATTAATAATAATAAAAATTAATGAAGTATTGAAGTTTAGTTCGTTGTATAACCTTTTGAATACCACTCGATATTTCAGGATTACCTAATGCTTTTACCTGTATTATCCGGTAGGTAATCCTGAAACCTCTTGTGGTATTACATTCGACAATGTTTTGAGTAGGTAGGTACCAGGTGATTGTCTATATTTTGCACCCACACCTATCTCACCTGTTTGAAGAGATACCCAGAAATGTCAAATGTCTGCGCGTCATGTTTTGAAATATGTCGCGCGTGCTTTAAAGGCCCACTTATACACTTATATCATAATATACTATTATTTAGAGGTGGGTTGCGATTTCACGAACTGTGACTTTGTCACTGTTACTCGTCTGTCACAGTCACGGCCTGCTCCAGTCCCAGTCAAGTAGCAGTGACATTTTGTCACTGCCCGCTTCAAGCTCCGACCGATGCAGCGCGGACAAAACTCGAGCTAAGTGATGCGAACGAAATAATATAATATTAAAAATCGCATCGCAGTCATGCCAAATAGAAACTGTTACTGCAGAGGACAGGCCAGAAACTGGAACATCTTTCTCGGCCGTGACTGATGACTGTGATTATGCCATGTTGCGACGTAGCATTACCATAATATTAGCAGTACGGCCGTCAACCAAGGTAAAACTGCTCCAAAAAATCACTGCTATTTGTCACAGTGACACGACTGGAGCAGTCACGTCTTGTCACAGTTCCATTAAAATCGCAGATTGGCCCACCTCTATTAGTCTTAAAAATAGGATATCTAGAGTAGAGGCTGGACTAGGAGGAATAAACCTGAAAAATCTAGTAAGTAGGTATATTTGGAATCAGGTTTGAAAGGCTTATCCAATGGGACAATAATATACGGGGTCTTCCATTTAAAAAAGTATAACTTTGCTTTGCCACACTTTTGTGACACACCCTGTATACTTGTAACTAACATCATTGAAGACTTTCTGATATTACCTACAACTTTCACATTTGACATTTCTGGGTATCTCTTCAAACAGGTGAGATAGGTGTGGGTGCAAAATATGGACAATGACCAGGTACTTTATTCTGATATTTTCCAGGAAAATTATGTTGTCGTTTTTTAGAGGAGATTAAGTGGCAGTGATGAATTGCCACTTGTTTCAAAAAAGCTCTTCAAATAGGCCTACAAGAAATAGAAACGCTTTTGCGAAATTTCCGTTTTTTTTTTCAAAATATCTTCAAAACTGTTCAGAATTTATCAAATAGCGAACCAGCCCTAATTAAATTAAGCTCGTATTTCTTATTTCTCATTTCCTAAATTTTCAAATTTCAATACACCCGAAAGAATAAGCTTCTTACAGATACAGATGTTAAATTTGTATTTACTGGTATGTAGTTACCTAATTCTTTATTTTTACTGGGGCAAGTAGGGTGAGTAAGGAAGGGTTTAGGCTAAAACCAAATTATCTTAACACATATCTAATCATGATTAATTAGATACATAAAGTAAGCATAAGCTCTTGCACTAAGCCGAAGCAGAATCGAATGGAACGAATTTAAAACTAAAATTTCTGGACTATTGGGTATGAATGATGTAGATTAAAAATTATTTGAAAAACTCAGGAAGGCTTATATATGACTTGGTTGGTTGTGAAATTATTTTCGTACATGCAGCAGGGGCAGGCTGCTAGCAGACATTTTTATTTTATTATTGCATTATTGAACTTAAAAAAAACCCATTAGTGTGTATTAAAATTTGATTTAACTCATAAAATATTACAGGTATGTACCTAGGCACATTTATTTAAACTTTGGGCGGCATAGAGTATGTATTCCCAGTTATTAATTTTACCAGAAAAAGTCTATGCAAACACATCTATTAATATCAAAATGACTAAAAAATGTGTGGGCAATAAAACGCAAGCTGATAAATTTTGTTTGCTATTTCCTTAAGGTATTGAATATTTTTATGTAATTTATTAATTTTTGTTTATTTTCAAATGTTTCGTTATTTACGTATTAGGTAATCAACAATTGATAACAATCAGTTATTTACCTATAAAAATGCCAACTCAACCAGGCATTTATTTATTTTGAAAGTTTGAGGTGATATCGATTGAAATTGCACTCAAAATGGCCTCTAGTGCCCTATATTCAATACAAACAAGCATGCTTACCAAATAAATGATGTTCAGGAAAATGAATAAGTATTTCATACAGGAGTAACAACCCATTTTTTTGGCACAAGAATCTTACTTGAAAAGATTCGATTACATTAATTTATCCTTTCGCTTTGTTATTTAAAACACGTTTTAGGTACTTTTGTGTACAGACAGACACACGGATTCGATTTTAAAATAAACTCCGTATCAACCGCCGGCGCAAGAGTTTTGCTTCGCTGCGCTGCACGCTGCACTATGTACATCGAGTTTATTCATGTATTGTATTTCTCGACCTCACGTCACAACGTTCATAGTCACGTATTTCAGTCACAGTCACATGCATGATTTTTGAGTAGGAATGGCTTCGAAGTATCGATATTGTGTTTCAAAATTATCGATACATCACGAAAAAAATATTCGCAATGGCTTGAATTATTGAAAAACTGCCTAAAAATAGTTTGCCTTTTAAATTAAGATGATAAGACCGATGCCCTATTATTACTTTTTTTTTTTAATTCCAAATAATTTGCAAATTTTGCGAAACAAAGCTTTCGGATTCTTGCAAATAACTGTTTTAGAACTGTCAAGAGTGTGTACTTTAAATTTTAAATTTTCTTGTTCGGATTTTATTGAACTAATTTAGGACGGTTCTTTATTCAGCAAGCGTTGGTAAAATTCAGAACTGTTCTGTACGGTCCTAGAACTGTCAGAATCGATCCCTGCTGAGAAAGTTCTACTTTCGGACTATTTGCTACTAGATTTTGCTCACGGATAATACACCCTACTAAGGATTGCTTACCGGCCCCGTTTCTGGTAATCGGCGCCATGTTGTTGTATCACCATTGCCGACGTCATTAACTAAGTCGTAAACTGTTTTCGCCAGCGGTCATAGTTTAGAATTCAAATTTTCGATGAAAAATATTATTTAATTTTGATAAACATAATAGGCAAATAGGAAGATGCAAACGAGATGTAAACAATAGCAGCTGTATGCAACATCCTCTTTTAACTTAAAAGCGCCTTTTAAAACTGGTCACCTAAAAATGTGTATTTAGAGCCATACAAATTTTAAAGGTGGCAGTTTTAAAAAGCGCCTCTAAGTTAAAAGAGGATGTTGCATACAGCGTAGATGTTTTGGAATTAGGTGCAAACGGCCAATGCTAAACTTGTGCATGTCGTACAGTATGCGTTCTTTTTGAATCTAGACTAGGTTATCAAATTTATTTGTTTTTTTGGTATATTTGATTGATTTGCAGAGCTGGGAGTAACGACAAAAAATAGTTACTTTACTTTAACGAGTTACTGAAAATAACGCGTTACTTGGTAACTTCGTTACTTTTCAGATTAATTGAGAAGTAACTGTAACGACGTTACTTTCCTGACTTATAAAGCTTTTAATATTTTATGATGTAGATTAAAGAATTAACGGTCAAAAACAAAACATCTCATTTTATTTTTGAATATATATTATTAAATATAACAATATGTATAGACGGGTCGACAATTCAAGCCGACCATGCAAATTTTGATTTATTGACTGCAAAATTTATAAGGGAAGTTATTTCTGAACGCATCTATCTGTTCCAGTCTTTTTTTGCCCTCTAGACACTATAAGCAGACACTGGGACGCTTCAATAAGCAGGTTTGTCCAAAACCAAGTTCTCTATTTAGTCGCTAATTAATCCTTAATCCGTTTGAATTCTGCAACAAAACTCTTCCACATAGTCGAACTCACAAACTAAAAACATATTGGCATTTCGTATAGGTCTTATTTAGTTGTTTGGACTGCTGTGTTGTTGAGTCAAATTAAGGAATAAGGCAATTTTCGACGTAAATAGTTATTTTTCAAGTAATGCGTTACTTTAAAAGTAACGCTTTATTTAAAAGTAGCGCTTTATTTCAAACTAACGCATTGAGGTAACGAGCTACTTTCAAATAACGAGTTACTTTTAAGTAACGAACTACTTTTAAAGTAAAGAAGTTACTTCCAAAATAAAGAAGTTAGAGTAACGCGTTACTTTCCAATAAGTAACGAAAATAACGTTATCATTATTCGAAAGTAACTGTCAATTTTAAGTAACGAGGCATTTTTAAGCAAAAGTAACTGTAAAGTAACGCGTTACTTTTTTCAAGTAACGATCCCAGCTCTGTTGATTTGGCCCGGTGCATTCATTTTCATCAGGGATATCTCAAGATAAAACCGATCAATCAGGGAGGATTATAGATTGCGCTTTCATCTGTCAGATTGCGTTAGTTTGATGTTCTCGAATGGAATGTCGAATTGATTCTGGGTTCCGGATGCGTTTTTTAAATTTTTTGACAGTCCGAGAACCGTCATTCTCATAAGGCCTTTACGGAAACGTTGATCCGATTAATCCGATCACAGGCTGTTTGTTTTTCATCTTTCTTCAATGGCTTAAGCACGATGGAAGAAAGATAAATTGCAGCAGCTGCTCATCGGGTAAGGGTGGGTATTATAAAACTGCTTTGACAGTTAACTTGAGGTTAACTTTTTGAAATACATGTAATTCCAGAAGTTAACTTCAAGTTAACTCTCAAAGTAGTTTTATAATACCCACCCTAAGCAGTTTTATAATACCCACCCTAGTATTATAAAACTGCTTTGACAGTTAACTTGAAGTTAACTTTTTGAATTACATGTAATTCCAGAAGTTAACTTTTTGAATTACATGTAATTCCAGAAGTTAACTTTAAGTTAACTTTCAAAGTAGCTTTGTATTATAAAACTGCTTTGACAGTTAACTTAAAGTTAACTTTTTGAATTACATGTAATTTCAGAAGTTAACTTCAAGTTAACTCTCAAAGCAGTTTTATAATACCCTCCCTAAATCGGATCAAAGATAACAAAAATTACATCATTATTGATTTTAGGTCACTCGGTCGGAACACATTTTACTGCTCGGAATAGACGCTCGTGTGAACGAGCAGACAAAACTCGATTATCCCCTTATTCACGCTCGTTATTGATGGAAAATATGAATACATACGTGGGTGTTCCTAAATATCATGTACAGGCAGCAGGCAGCATGTTTTTTCTCGCCTTGACGTAGGCTGTTTAAACAGCCGACGACTTAGATATGACGTCGGAAATGGTGACACACCAATATGGCGGCGAATACCAAAAACAAGGTCGATAAGCAGTCCAGTAGGTGTGTAATATCCTTGTATAGTGCTGACGTCACCCGCAGACCTCGATGGAATGCTTGCTTCAGGCTCTGTGCTAGTGAATTAGTTTTTTCGCCGATTTTAAATGTAGAAAAAGTGATTTTCGATCTGTTCTCACAGAAGAAACTGAGTGTTCTAGATCCTCGAGTATCCCAGTATTGGATAGTGGGGATGTTAGGGGAGTATGACACAAATGACACATAACATAATCCAGCAAAAGATAATGGTTGGTTATTCTCGCGAAAAATTGCCTTTTAATGCTCACGACTGTACATTTAAATTAAATTGTCAAGGTTTTGCAGCGGTTTTTTTTCTAGGTATTTTGGCACCAAAAAATGGCGGTATAGGCAATGGGACCGTCCCGCTAAATTGAAATGAATGTTTCTAATGTAAGACAAGCACTTCTACTACACTAACATACCGTTTAATATAGTTATTATAATTATGCATTGGAAAATAACAATTTTATTTAAGATTAAATTTTTGCCATTATTTGAAATTGAAGTTTTCGCGCCTTTATGACATATCATGATTCCAGCCAATAGGAGAGGAACGACAACAATCCTCAACGACCTTAACCCTGAAAAGTAGGCAACGAGCCGCTTTCCAGCCATTTCCAGCTGACGTCTATGCAGCTGACTTATGTTTGTGCTTCAAGCACGGTGCAGCACAGTGTTCTGTGTTTGAAGCGCAAAAGTTAGCAGCTCTCGAAGCGCAGTACGGCTGGAACACGAACGCGCGCTTGAAGCACTTGCGCGCGCAAAAGTTCGATTGCGTGCTCAGGATGGTCAGCTGGAAAGCGGCTCAGATATACACTTTTAATTTTTTCCAAAAAATCAACACTGAACACTGAACTGACAGATTTCAATGTCATCAACGCCCCCTTAATTGGTTGATTTCTAGCAAGGATGATACGCACTACTACTACAGGATGGCCTATCCTCATAAAGCCTGTGTGTAACAAATCCCCCCCCCCCCCCCCCTTCCTAACAACCAGTTGTGACGTAAGTAGCATGGCGTTTCTCGCCTTGACGTAGGCTGTTTAAACAGCTGACGACTTAGTTATGACGTCGGCAATGGTTGAAAACCAATATGGCGGCGATTACCAATAAGCACTCCTTAGAGTGTGTATTCTCCTTCGATTTCTAGTTCTGATGACGGATTGGGAGACTGAAGCTCTCACTTGCGCGAAATTCGCTTTTTTGACATTGCTTCGACAATTTGACGTTTGATAAACGCATAAAACGTCAAATTGTTGAAGCAATGTCAAAAAAAAAAAAACAATTTCGCGGAAAAAGAGCGAATTTCGCGCAAGTGAGAATGATGCAATACTATTAGTCAGACTCATGTGACGTCACGCTGCGCGCGCGCGTTTTGAATAGACTGATTTATCGGCGAATTCAATATTTTTTTTTCTAATTGAATAACGAACGAATGGTTGATCAAATTTATTGTTACATACATTTTATATTGTATTCAGGCATTTTCAAAAACCCAATAAAAAATAAATGCGGGACGGCCCCATTCAATGCTTTACCTGCTTAGAGCTTTACCTGTATTTGGTGCCAAACACCTGCCAAAAACTTGGCTTCACGTTTATAGCAGAATGGCGCGTTCCTACTCCTTATGTCCGTAGGACAGCGCTACAGTGGCTAAAGAAACCTTCGAATACTGTGGCTAGGCAACAATAGAGGTCCGGCCGCCATTTTGTGTAAAACCTCTTGCTACTTTTGAATATGAATATATAGGATTTAAATGGACATCCATCATAAAAAATTGAATACAACGTATTTTATGTGCCTAATTATAGTCATCGGATACGTTGTTTTCATTTTTTTATTATGGATATTCATTTAAATCCCTTTAAATCCCATATATTCATATTTAAAAGTAGCAAAGAGAAAGAGGTTGGGCACAAAATGACGGCGTTTTCCATGTGAATGGGCGGTTACACACGGACGTGGATGTCTTAATACATATACGTGCATACATCAACGTGCAAACAACAACGTGCATGGCGCTTTTGTACAGACGCTCGCACAAAACTGCAGTCTTGCTATTCTTGCCACAGTAATCCGAGTGTGCATACAAAATTTCTAGCGATTCCACATTCAAAAACGCGACGATATTTTGCCTACACATTGATGTTTTTGTTTGCGCGTTCATGTATGTACGTGCATGTTTTCAGACATCCACGTCCGTGTGAAACCGCCTAATATATGGGATTTTGAAGAACTAATCAAAAAGAAGACTACAATTGTCGCCACTGTGATAATAGAGTCACTGTAGACAGCACTTCACCTGCTCTAAGGTTCAAATCGTTTCGGAATACAATCCAATCCACGTTTTAAAACCATTTTCTCGAGCCGAGAACTGGTTATGATGTCATGTGGAGTGACTACTGTTTTACACCAGTAAAAACGTTTTAAAACATTTATTGAGAAACGAGAAAACACCTTTCATTAGATGTTTGTGTTGGTCGTGTAACCCATTGGTGTAACCACAGAGGTTTTCCAAATTCTCGCACAAAAATAGCAGAGGCAAAAAAAATGTAAGTCTAGAGAAGACAGGTTTTGATTCAAAACTATACATAGAGTACCTAGAGTAGGAATTCTTTACTTTGCCTTTGATGCGTAAGCATATCATTGAGCGAAATCCTGAAATCCAGCAGTTTGTATTTTTATATTATACAGTTTGAGTTACTAAGCGCGTGGTGGTCTAGATACAAAGTTTTGTTTTTTAAATGACTCCCCCTGAGATTATGACATTTCTGGATTCTGTGGAAAGTTCTAGACATATTTCGTGTACAATGCACTGATTGGCTAAACTTGTAACAGTTGTGCAACGGAACAGCCTAACGCCTGCGCAGTGTCCTATTTCGAACAACTGTTTTAAGCCTTGTACTCATAACTGCGAAATTCGCACTTTTTTGACATTGCTTCGACAATTTGACGTTTTATGCGTGAATCAAACGTCAAATTGTCGAAGCAATGTCAAAAAAGTGCGAATTTCGCAGTTATGAGTACATAAATATCCTCCATTTTCATTGGCTATATTTTGCTGTCTTAGGGCGGGTATTATAAAACTACTTTGAGAGTTAACTTAAAGTTAACTTCTGAAATTACATGTAATTCAAAAAGTTAACTTCAAGTTAACTGTCAAAGTAGTTTTATAATATCCGCCCTTAGTTGTTTACATTCATTATGACCTTGTAAATTAGCAGCATTAGAAGCGTTCTTTGTTTATCCATTTATTTTTGAGATCAGTGGTACAATGCCATACCTATCTTCAACTGTTTCGGAAATATTGACAATTTAAAAGGGCGGGTATTATAAAACTACTTTGAGAGTTAACTTCTGAAAATACACGTAATTCAAAAAGTTAACTTCAAGTTAACTGTCAAAGCAGTTTTATAATATCCGCCCTTAAACTGACTTTTTTGCATCTTTGACAAACTGTAATAGTTATTTACCTAACAAATGCGGAAAGTGATACTTTACCGCACGCAACGGCAGTTGACCGAACCACGCGGAGCGGAGTTCGGTCAAGCCGTTAAGGGCGGTAAAGGCACTTTCCGCATGTGTTAGGTACAAAATTTTACCTATGAGCATCTACATTTCTAAAAAAGGCATTGATAAAATTAATTATTGAATCAGATTGATTAATGAAATTAGATTAGATATAGAAATGATCAAAAATCCATTTTCTGAAAAAGAGAGGATTTCTGATTAAAAATATCAAATTTTACTTTACCGCACACTATGCGGTAAAGTGCACTTTACCGCACACTTTGTAGTCCACTTTACCGCATACTATGCTGTAAAGTCAACTTTACCGCACACTATGCGGTAAAGTGCACTTTACCGCATAGTGTGCGGTAAAGTGATACTTTCCATTTGCAAATACGTGCGGTAAAGTGCACTTTACTGCACGCTCGTAGGTAAACGATTTTACATTCCTATCCCAGATTTTCATAAGTTATCATTAAACACCAACTTTGAATTTAACCGGAGATTAATAATTTAGGCGGAATTTTTAATCATGGACTTTAATAAAAGTTGATGTCAAATGATAGTTTATGAAAAACTAAGATAAGAATGTAAAAGATGTCAAAAAAGTCAATTTTCAACTGTCAATATTTCCGAAACAGTTGAAGATACGTATATGACATTAGGTCAGTTTCTGCAGAAGTCACAAACCAGTCAGAGCGAATTTCATTGGTTGAAAACAGTCAGAAAACTAGTTTCAACCAATGAAATTTATTGTACATCTTTGTCTAGAATTTTCCGCAGAATCCAAAAATGTCGTAATATACAGGGTGAGCCATTTAAAAAAAACATACCTTTGTGTCACCACTACTTATTGGGCCACCCGGTATACTGGAAAATAATTTAGGAATATAGTACTCATGTTTATCTACAAGTTTTGTGTTTAGTTTTTTCTTCGATCTCTGTTAGTATAGGAGATATGGACTACCGCGCGCTTAGTAAACTCACCCTGTATATTATATATTATATCATAAATTTCTCTATTTTAATATTTTTTGCCGCCGCTACTCCTTCAATCATTTGACTGGTCTGTCTCTCAAGTAAGAATTGAACTTTACTCCCATGCGTCCATTAAACTCAAATAAATTAAACTCATTCAGGGCTTGATTTTCTTTTTTTTGCGTCTTCCTAATACTAACACAACACGACACAATAGTTATTTTCCTAACAAGTGCGCAAAGTGATACTTTCCCGCACGAAAAAGCAGTTAGACGAACGACGCGAAGCGGCGTTCGGATAAGTTTTCAGTGCGGGAAAGACACTTTGCGCAAGTGTTAGGAACAATATTTTTTCTACGAGTATCTTAAAAAAGTAGACTTTGAATTGTTAAAATATTAGAAAAATCAGTCAAATCAAAATCTTCAAAAATCGTTTAAAATTTATTGGAATTCCTCAGAATGTCTTTTAAATTAAATCCCCAAATACCTTTTCACATCTTCTGGAATTTCTAGAATCAGCAAGAATATTTTTATGAGATTTTCTTAAATATCAAAAATTTTACAAATTCCTAGCAGTACAGGCTGGTCCAATTTGGACACCTTTGATAGGAAACATCATGTTAACTAAGCCTTAATTTCAACTTAAACCCTTCATTTTGAATATTAGTTTATTTAGAAACCGTCAAAACATTGAAAAATCAAGTATAACTATGGTAATTATGCGTAACAAAAATGAGTGCGCAAAGAGTTTCCGTGCGCAAAGTTCAACTTTGCGCACGCAAATGAGTGCGCAAAGTGATTACTTTGCGCACGCAAGTAGAAAAAATGAGTTTCCGCTTTTGTTTAGTCATATCGATACTCTTCTTTCAACACATCGATGTATCGACATTTTTACACATCTCTATTCGGGTCGTAGCAACATTCGATGGACCGCTTAGCTTGGACCTCACGCCAGGCACGTCTACTTTAATTAGACTTTAGAGCTATGCTAGAGATGAGTTTTGTTTGTTTGCCATTTGCCATACATTTTAAATTATTTATAACCCGTATAAATAATTAATAGCTCCTTTTGTTGATTCACAGTTTCACTACTTTGTAATGTTATGTTAATTCTGTACTTGTAAGTGATGTGGTGTACGTGGAGGCAACTACATCACTTCGGAATCAAACTAATTATTATTGATGGTGAAATGAAATGGGAGGGACAAGAAAAGAAGGCGAAAGACGGAAATAGAAAACAAAATGTGCAGCGCAACCGCGTCGTTGTCAAAATTTGGTTTTCCTTTTCTACTTCTACTTTTCTGTTTTTGGTGCCGTGGACGCGTGGGGTACCATTTTTATATCCCGTATTTTGTTTATCCATTGTAAATTATCGCGAAAATCATGAAAATTGTTATTTTTAATGCAAGAAAATATAAAACTTACAAATATAACATATTCCGACAGTGTAAACATTCATATCTCAGCGAATCTAGCCCCAGTTCCAGTAGCATTGATATTGTGTAGTAGCCTACTTCCGAAAGCTTACAAACATTTGCTAAATATTTTTTAAAAACTTTGGTTTGTTCTCATTCAAGGATAAAATGGAAGGACAAGAGTTGAACGAAGAAGAGGAAGCTGTTTTGGATTACAAAACCCCCAAGGGGCAGCTGATCCAATTGGTTGAAAAGAAACTAAAGAAGCCTGAAATAGATGATAGCTTGGGAAAGGTAACAATACATACTTTCACTTTGAATATTCATTTTAGGCAGGCGTGGCCTTTGAACAAGTATACATGCAAAATTTGAATTTGTTTATGGTCCAAACTTGGCTTTTATGTAAATAAACATTTTCTTTGACTAGGAATCTAGATAAATACTATTAAGCTTCATGATATAGTAATGGGTAATGGGGATCAGACTATTCCTAGTTTTATCAATAAATGTGATTTATAAAATCCAGTTCCAGTGGTACATTCAGTCCCCAATCTCAAACTTTTACTTAGGTCTTAGACCGTCTATTGATTAACCTAGCAGTACCACCTAAATCAAGTAAGCATTAACCACAGCTTTAAGTTACTTTTGCAATAAAAAAAATAATCACCTTTTCCCTAAATAACACCTGTAATTAGAATGTCATTGTTGTTGATGTGTCATGCGGCAGGTAAAATGATGCCTTTTGGCTCTACCTGTAATGGTTCAAAATTATTGAGCTTTTATGGCATTTTATTAAAATTTCAAACACTGGTCACAAGCCAAGCATATGTAAAATCCGCCGATTTTAATCTGATACTCCAAAGGAATTTAAACTGAGCAGTTTTCTTAACATTCTTTTAAAAAAATGAAAATTAGGGCTTAGTTTATGCTGGAACTAAAAAATATATTAGTAATAAAGCATCAATCAAAAATATGTACCTATACACACGCGTTCCAAGTAGGTTGAAATTCTTACTGCGATTGGCACAATTTCCCATTAATTAATATTTGTTATTTTCATTTATTACTATTCTTCACAGCATAAATACACCTCAAATGTTTCATTTATTTTAATTGATTTGTAATATTTTATCTAATTCAATTTTTGTAAGTTAACATGATCTCAAAGGAAAATAAAACTATCCGTTTACTGCAACAAATTAATGGCTATTTTATTATCATAATAATTAACATTTTTCCTTTTGTCTGTTTTTTGCTTTTTTATTTTTTGTTGAAAATAAAAGAGAATTATGGCGCTGTGGAATAATCTTTGGTACTGCTCCTGGTTTTGGTTTTTCATTGGTGAGCAAAGAATTTTTCCTTAGATGCTTTCCAGTGACCCATTTGAGTTACTCCTGAGCAGCTCAGAGTGCTCCACAATTGCTTTGCGCGTTCCAGTGCTTAGAGTGTCGTACACTGGAGCTATATATAAATAAATGTTGTTAGTCCAACTCTATAAACTCTACAAAAACACACCTTAAAAAGTTACAGGATCACAGTACGTCAGTACACACTGGTATTTAGGTATTGAGCCCAACATATTTCTCGAACCCTCTTACACTCCGAACGCAACCCTGAAAACCACACATAATCAAGAGGAGATTTAGAATTATTATAAGCTTTATGAGCAATCTTTTTCTGGAACGTAAGACTTCGAAGCTCTTGTGAAAACCATTTTGGAAATGTGCTTGTGTGATATTTTTTTAAAGGAACATATAGAGCAATACCCATCTCGAGAATTTCATAAAAAGAATCCAAAGCTAAATTAATCTCATTATGTGAAAGGCATTGCTCCCAGTTTATACTAGCTAGAAAATTGTTCAATCCCAGAAAATCAGCGTTACGGAAATCATGGTAGAGATCATGAAGCTGAAGGCCTTTACTTCCCTGACTTTTACCCATAATTAAACAGCATTCGTAGCTAACATGATGTAAACTATTATCAAAAATAATATCCCTAGCTAAACTAACTACAACGTTGCTATCATTAGAAAACATCAAATCTAGGAACACATTTCTATGATTAGGAAGATTAATACATTGAAAAAATTGCAAGAAACCAAAAGATTGAGCAACCTGAATAGCCGCGGATGCAGCTGGACAGTCAACTCTCACTCCAAATCCATCATTGGACCAACTTGCCTCAGGTAGATTGTAGTCACCAAAAATATACATTTTTTGAGATTTGCAAGACTCAAGAACATGCTCCACAGACTCACAGTGCATGTTGTAGTAAATATTTGGCATGTTGGGTGGTATGTATACCCCAGCAATCACAAACTTGTTCCCATGGAAGCTACATGCGACAAACAGCTGTTCTACATTGTGCTGGTTTATGTAAACTCTCATAGAGCTGATTGATTTCCTAATGTATATAAGTATACCACCGCCGCTAGATTTTTGGCTAGTAAGATGAGACCGATCCAAGCGGAATAAATTAAAATCACAGCACTCTAGCTCACTGTCCATGAAGTTATCACATAAATTACTTTCGACTAGTACAATAATATCATATGAAGAACTATTTACTGCTAATTTCAGAAGCTCAATCCTTGTACGAAGGCCACTGACATTTTGATAGTATACCATCATGTCATTATTATATGGAGGTTGGAGGTTGGTATGTAAAATTTCCAAGGAAGTCAGGATGCTGAGTATTGTTTAATGGAGATCAGCATGTAGAGTGTTTTTTTTTTATATATATCGACACTCCACCTACAGCCTTTACCTTTAGAGGTAGAAGAAAGGGGTAAATACAAAAGTTGTACAGTTTTGGCTAAATTTTTAGAATCCATGGTCAGAAACAAAAATTGAATGTCAGAAATGTGGAATGTTGCATGTTTTCAGTTTTTTTCAAATGGGATGCCTTATATCTGGCTCCATATTCTTGAAGAGCACAATTTCCCGATTCCAAAAATATATAGTTTGTCTATATTTGGTTGAGCCGTCTCCAACATATTTGGTTCTAAAAATTTTAAAAATACTATCAGAGAAACCAAGTACCTCAAATTTTACCTGCAGCTCTCACCTGTACAGGTAGAATGGTTCACAAAATCAGTTAGAAGGATAGTATTTTTACAATTTTTGGAGCCGAATATATGAGAGACTGCTCATCCAAATAAAGAGAAACTATATATTTTTGGAATCGGGGCATTGTGCTCTTCAAGGATATAGAACCAAATATCCCATTTGAAAAAAGCTGAAAGCATGCAAAATTTCACATTTATGAGATTCAATTTTTGTTTCTGACAATGGATTCTAAAAATTTAGCCAAAACTGTACAACTTTTGTTATTACACCTTTCTTCTACCTGTAAAGCTTACTTTTCATGCATCCGTTTTTCCGTCAATCCGTTGATCCGGAAGTATTCCTATTGGTCCAATATTCTGGCACCAAAATAGTGAACCAATAGGAATACTTCCGGATCAACGGATTGTCGGAGAAACGGTTGCATGAAAAGTAAGCTTAAAGGTAAAGGCTGTAGGTGAGGTATCAATACATAAAAAAACACCCTCCATTAAACAATATTTAGCATCCCGTCTTCCTTGGAAATTATTATGACATGATACGTTCATATTACCTATCAACCTTTCTGTGCCTATACGTAAGCATCTATTCTTTCCAATCGCACGCAACTCAAACTTGCCTATGGTACTACCGCGGTTTGGAACAGCCCGGCTGTCTCAACTTAGCAGAAACTTTGAGACGTCAGCTGGGTATTTTCTTACTGGGAATTTCACGCATTTTTTAATGATGTAACTCCCAAACTTTCAAGTTAGAGGCGCCATTGGGGAGTCTTAACTCCATTTCGCCCCGGGTGACAACCTTTTTGCAGGGGACGCGAACTGGCTGACGGGAATGAGAAACCGAAATTTTTCTTCTAAACGCCTAAAACAAAAAAATTAATTTTTTAATAATTTCTTAAGACAGTGAACGCAGGGGGTGGGGTGTTGTCACCCGGCGGATTATTGAAGCCCTACATATGGCGCATCTATTCCTATAAAGTTTAGCCTTTTAATTTACCGACTCCTTTTCTTGCGGTCAGCTCTCGCACTATTAGGCTTTTTTGAAAAAAAGTCCAACATATCTAAAGCCCGATTTATAGATAGACGCAACGTAACCGTAACGCAACCGTAAGAAATTAATGAAGCAATTTATATTTTAACGCAACCGTATCTCCGTAACGTAACGTAAAAGTTGGCCAACTTTCAACTTTTTACGTCGCGTTACGTTGCGTTCTTGTGTTTGACCAATGAAAACTCAACAACACTCAACATAACCAAACATTTCAAAAATACTAAAATGAAAATACCTCCGGGATGCTGGGCAAACCTAAACTGAGACAATTGAGGCCTTCAGTATCAAAAAAAGCAACGTAAATATTGTAAATATAACAATTAATCACTGATTTTTAACAATTTACGACGCATGTGCCAAACGTAAAGGCCGTTTTACAGCTTGCAATTCTATTTGCAATATGCAAGAAACTTGAACGAGGGCATGCGCAGAAGTGAGTCAGCTGATTGTTTTCTGCAAGATTCTTGAAACTTGAATGGCATTGCATGCAATCGGTTTGGTGCCATTTTTCTTGAAGGTTTTCGCGCAAGTTGGGTAATTTCCAGCAATTATGATGCTTAAAGTGGCTGCTATTGCTTTCTTCTTTTTATATCGACTTATAATTACTTTTTTCACTTTTGGAAAATACAAACATCAATAACACAATATTAAAAACAAAAAAGTATGGTTAAGGTTAGAAAGAAAACAAGACAAATTGCAAGGTATAAAACGACGTGCAAGAAATCTTGAATGCAATTTTTTTGCATGCAAAAAATTGCATTGAAGTTTTTTTGCAAGCTGTAAAACGGCCTTAACGTAAGAAATGTATAAATTGTAATTTTTAAAATGCTTGCGTTCTGCTGCGTTACTGTTGCGTTACGGTTACGTTACAGAATCTATAAATCGGACTTAACTGCCGCTTTGATATTTTCAATGTTGTAGCTATAATGGCCGAGTTCGTTTTTGTCATCTTTTTCGTCGATTTGCTCCGAAATTTTGGCAGGCACGGGATTTGTAAATTGAAACTGTCTTATCCAGTCACGTGCCTGTCAAAATTTCGGAGCAAATTGACGAAAAAGATGACTAAAACGAACTCGGCCAATATTCAACTAAAATAGGTAGGTAAACAAAAAAACTATACACACTGGCTATTTTTTCTTCAATTTACGACGCGACGAGTGACAAAAATATGAAAGATTTCTCCAAGTTTCGAGATTTTTCGCACATACAGGTACGGGAGCCGATTGCAACTTGCAAGAAATCGTGAAGGTGCGTTTCCATCAAAAAACAATTAAAACGAACGCTCGCAACAAAAGAGCTGCGCGAAAAAAAGCTATTGTCACCGCCACTGTTTTTATAATCATGTGTATTTAAAAGAAAGACAGTTTCCCACATTGATGCAAACATTCTCAAATCCGTCTCCACCAATCAAATAAATTTGTTCACAAACGTTGCTGATCATTCGCGAATTTGCAATCGTTTTGCGTGCTTGGTGGAAATGCACCTCTACATGACCGCGAATTGCGATGTACGATGTACGATGCCGGGCCGGGCGATTTCCATGTTCTTGGTTTCGATTCCAGATTTCAGTAATTTCAAGTAACGTATATAGGATATTTATTTATTTATGTAAAATGGAAAGTTTGTAGTAACCAAAATCGCAATAAAAATATTTTTTCCTACGAGCGTGCGCAAAGTAGTACTTTTCCGCACGCATTTCCGGGCTCAAAGTTACACTTTTCCGCACTGAGTGCGGATACAGGCCTTATCCGCACTGAGTGCCGAAAAGTAATTATAATTGTCAAGCAACAATAAGTGTACCTGTCGACTTTGACACATGATGACAAATTTTTTCTCTGTTTCTATATCAGCCAACATCTATACAAACACCAAATATAAATTAATTTGACACATTGTCAGATTTGTTCTCTATTTATATGCAAAAATCTACAAACTTTCTCATCAAATTTAAACGCTTTAAGATGAACAGCTTTGACGAGGATTTTCTGTTATTTTTTTGTTATGTAATTTTTTGATAAATGCATAGGTTCCATTCAAGTTAATTAAAAATAATTAAACAAATTATCGTTTTTTTTTTAAATTTTTGTTATTACCTACCTGATATGAAGCTCGTAGGAAAAATTTTGTTCCTAACACGTGCGCAAAGTGTCTTTTCCGCACGCAAACACGTATCCGAACTCCGCTTCGCGTCGTTCGTATAACTGTGTTTGCGTGCGGACAAGTAACACTTTGCGCACTTGTTAGGAAAATAACTATTTCCTACAGCCGTGCGGAAAAATCGATTTTCCGCACTGATATGCGTGCGGAAAATGAGTTTTCCCGCATGGTGCGGTAAAACTTTTTTTTTTGACATATCAGTGCGGAAAAAGTTTTTCCGCACGGCTGTCAGTGCGGCTAACACTTGTTAGGTAAATAGCTATTACCGGAAAATTCTTTGTATAGTCGTATTCATGATAGAGTTTGAATTTTGACTGTTATTTTCACCAGTTGAAAATAAATAAAATCCCCAGATCTGTCCCTTTTTCTGACAACTATCAAATAATGATACATGACATTTTGATTTGACACATAAAAATATCAGATTCGGGTCTTTAAATTTTGAATTTCGAATTTTTGTGTGAAATCGTTCAGTTTTTTGCCGTTTTCTGCATTATTTTTTTATTTGTTATTATCGCAATCGGTTTTTTGGTTTTTTATGTAGTGTTCTGTGCCTTTGTGTTTCGGTGTTCCGTTTCAAACCTGGTTTATAGTTTGGATTTAAGTGTTTTCTCTTTTTATAAGTGTTTACTTTGGACTCTAATTTTAGGATTTTTGGATTTTAATAACTTAACTTCCTTTAAAGAAATTGAAAATAAATTTTTATTCTGAAATGTATATCACTCTTCTAAATACGACCCTGTCGTTCATCCCAGCTGACGGAATCGAAGCGCTAACGCATGCTGACAACCTAAAGAAAAAGTTTACTAAAAATGTCAACACGAACTGTCAACTTCACTTTCTATCGTGATTTAGTCTATACCAGTGCTTAATTTCGGGGGGGGGGGGGGTTAACCCCCATAACCCCCCCCTTGGGTGCGCCACTGGTCACACCTGTTTTTGCCATAAGATTCACCCCGCTTCATACGGAAAGTGTCTGATTAAAAACGACAGAAAATATATTTGACTTTTTCTATACTTCATTAGGCATTCCAGGTCACGTGACTTTGACAAGGTCCGCCATATTTGCTGAGGGGCAACCAAAATTTATAGATCATATTGTTTACAGTGTTTTTTGAGTTTATGCTTCGGAATTTTTGCGTTTTTTGATTTGTTCAATAAGTTTTAGGTTGTTTTTAGTTTTTGTGAATGGATGGAATGAATGAATGAATCTTTATTTACAGACATGCCACTTTACATTTCAATTCAACAATAGTAAACAAACAATTTATTAACAAAAATAATGCTTAGGAATCTAAATTGTTTAAAAAATAAAAAAGTTTGATACTAACTACCTTACAAATAAACTTTAGCAAAATAAATTTGTGGTCTCGTTTGTGGTAGAATGACTCCTTAAACGTTTTGACTGTTCTGATCGGTGCACAGATCTGGCATGTAGCTTAGCTCACTGGCTTGTTCATTCTGGGCTTTTATCAATTATCGTAGTATATCCTAAATTTGTACTGGGGACCCAATCCGGATTGTTTGTATCCTTAAATTCTGCTGGACTACCTAAAAGGAATTTGTATTTGTATTTTGTATTTATTTCAAGCAACAAGTTTACAATTATTGTTCTTAAATAGAATAGAAATATCACAATCAACATACTATCTGGTAAATATCTATTTGAGTACAATATAGGTATTTAATGTATGTACATAAAAATTGGTGTTTTATTGCTCTTATTTTGGGAGTGCACAATGGATTTCAGACAATCTGTGTGTGCATCCCTCTATTTTAGGCATATAGCCCCTAGAGTCACCCCCTAGAAAATCTTAAAGAGGAAGGGGGGTAAGTGATACATCATTTTGGAGGGTTTTCAATTCCATACATTTTGGTACTAAATTTTAATCCCTAACGCCCGTATTGCATCTGTGTATTTTTCCGTGGATTTATTCATGTTAGTTCAGGGTGCCAACTTTATTTTGTTTTTCATAATGCTGAATAATGTTGCGTTTGAAGTTTTTCGGTTGTCACCCTGAACTACATGCATAGATACTACATGAATACACTGAAAAATACACAGATGTAATACGGGCATAAGTTCAACTTCTTTGGAAATATTGACAGTTGAAAATTGACTGTTTTGCTACTTTGACAGGCTGTAAAATCTAAACAGTAAATTTTAGAGGAAAACCGATCCTACATTCTAATCTTAAATTTTTATAAACTATCATTTGACATTAACTTTGAATTTATTCCACGATCCAAAATTCTGGCTAAAAATTTAATCTCCCATTAAATTAAAAGTTAGTGTCAAATGATAGTTTATGAAAATCTAAGATAAGAATGTAGGATCGGTTTTCCGAAAAAACTTCCAAAATGATGTATCACTTCCCTTCCTATTTAAGATTTTCTAGGGGGTGGCTCTAGGGGCTGGGGCATTTTGCATAAAAACTGATCCCCCTCAAATTATAGTTGACATGTTTCAGGATTTTTTTCTAAAATTTTTCAACTCTGAAATAATAGGGTTGGTAAGTTTTAAAATGAGCACCCTGTATATGCTTTTTGATGACAGAAACAGGGATACCATCTAGACCTGTCCCTGAGTTATCCTTCAGCTGGAAAATCTTATTATGTATATCCATGACATTAATGGATAAAAAATCCAAATTAACAGTAACATCACAACACATACTAAAATTGTTTGAATCATCATAATATACCTTATACCTATACTGACCTAAAATGATCATTTTCAAATTCTACGAAAAAAGTTACATCTAACTGCTATCTTCGTTTTCTCCAAATATACAGGGAAAGTCAAAATTAAGGCCCTGTTCAGTCCTTGTTGGCGGACCCTGTACATCTGAACACTATTTGCTGCTTTTAACTTGACAGTTTATGATTATATCTACTGCTCAATTGTGCCCTCTGGCCTTTCTGATCATAAAGCAGTACTTGAAAACATTGTAGTTTTGCTGTTCAGAAGAAAAGAAGTAACTAGAATATATTTCGCCATTATTGCTTTGAGGTCCAATAAGACAGAATACGTCAATCTGACGATTTTCTTGAGACATTTGTTCAAAATAAGCTTAACAGCTTCCCAGAATAGGTATCGGAGCAAAAATCGGAATCCTTGCATTATGGTTTTAAAGAGCTTTCTGAGAATATAAGATGTTATTATACTACATATTTGAAAATTTACTAATAATTGAAAGTTTCCAATTTATTCTTGAAAATATTACGCGAGGCTTATTATTGTCTTCAAGAATTCAGTAGAAGTTTTTTTTAAATGTTTTGAGTATACCTAACTGATCTTTTTTATTTAAGATTTTGGATAAATTTCAAGAACTCACAAATGAGCAAACTTCATACTTGGAAGTAGGAATTTTCCACATGAATTTCACAGAAGACGCGCTGCTGATCCAATGTTGTGGACAATTATATGGCAAACGAGTTGATAAATTGTGGGAAGAGCTTTTACAATTCCATACTCGCATGGTAAAATATGACCAGAAGAATGCTAATAATTCTGCAGATGTGTAAGTCATTTAAATTTATAAATCTGTAAAGCTGCAGTTGAAATATAATTATTTAATAAAAAATTTAGTGAGAAAATAAAATCAAAGCAAGAAATAGCAAAACTAGAAGAACGATTGAATAGGGGAAAACGGAAGAAGATTGTATTGGCACAGGCAGAGTTAGAAAACCAAACTGATCCTGCAACATCAGGAGGTAGAGTTTATTTCATAACGGAACAGTCGGCGGTGTTTCAATCATTCACTCCCAACAAATGCAAGTTTCCTTTAGCAAATGATGTTCAAGATGATGAGCCAGATTCTTTCGAATATGAACGATATGAAGAATGGGAGGATTATAAAAGTGAACGTAAGTAAGAATTTTCACATGAAGTTATTTTCTAACTGAATAAAATTTGCCATCAATTGCATAAACTAATTAAAGGATACTACAAAAAAGTTCTGAGTGAATATTCCTTGGATATTGTTAAAAGCCTCATAATTTTATGTCAAATTTCTTAAGCACGTTTTTTGGTAACAAGACTAACAGCAACATTATCAATATCCTAGTATAGAGATATAAAAAAAAATATTATAGCTTCCCTAGGAATATTGTCAATGACTATGACACTAATTTTTGTAGTAAAAATGTCAGTCAGGATATCCCCTGGATATTGTCAAATGCATATCTTGTGCATTAATGTCCTATTATCAAAAATAAAGTATTGAACTTACAATGGGTACCTTGAGGCTTGTAATTGAATAAACAACTGGCGACTTTTTGCCGCCTATGAAAAGAATACAAAATTTCAAGTGATGTTTCACATTTGTCTTTTTTTTTTCAGATAAAAAGCAACTAGAGCTAAATTACAATTCTCAGTTGGTTATGGAATATAACAAGATAGGTTGCAGCTTTAAACAGTCACAATCACCGTTCTTTAATGAATTGGTTTACGATTTCACTGAGCCAGAAGTATACAATACAAAAGAAGGAAGGCTCATCTCACACCAGTTGGTCAGGCAAATGTTTGAAGACAATGACAATTGTCTAATACCGGATGAAAATTTTGTTATTGCTCGATTAAGGTAATAAAAAATTGTTACTCTTATATAAAATACTTGACATTTTTTTCTCAGGATTGCATATAGTATCAAGAGCAAATGGATGATAAGAAATAAAATTGACACTTCAAATCCTAAATCGTATAAAGAAGCGTGGCAAAAATTCAGACGACAATTTTACGCTGAAGAAAGGCGTAAAATTCAAAATATGCCCCAAAAAAGCAGAGAGGATGTAGTCAAGTTTTTTGAAGCTTTGAAGGAGAAAGAAAGGATAGCTAGAGAAGCAAGTAGCTACTTTATTCTTTTACAACATAATATACTAAATTATAATTTTTTAGAAAGTACACAAACTAGAAGAAATGGGTGTAAAAAATTTACCAGCAATCACTTTCCACTCGGTCATAGTTGAGCCTCTAAGAGAAGATTATGATGGGATATTTGATCCTTACATTCCAGAAGGTTATGAGGTTTCTGGTGCACCAGGTGAGCAACTGTATTAAAATATTAAACAATTTAAAATAATAGAAAACTACAAGGAATCTAAGAATAAAACCAAGAATCTGTTGATAGACATATAACCATATTGTTCGGAAGATTACTTGGATATGTAATAATAGTATATTTATTTAATAGTTGTAAACATTTCAGCCATAGATGATATTGACGATGAATTTGAACGCAATTGGGATAGTGATCCACAAGCAGGTAATTTCAACAATTTAATACAAGTTGTTTAGTTTTAGCTTATGCTATTTTTTTAAACAGCACTTCTTGAGCAACTTAACCGAACCGACGATTCTGGAGTCATTGCCGATCATAATGTAACAGATCATGAAGAACCTAATCAAAGCATTGCTGCAGGTACAGATACTCCTTTTGAAGAAGATGGAGAAGAAGATGGTAGTGAAAACCGAGGTAAAAATGTTTAGAATCTTTGCATCAGGTTAGTTAGTTGGATTATAAGTTATAAGACTAGAAGTTTGAAAAGTCTTATGAAAAAGCTTATTTGCTAAACAATTCTAGCATTTTACCTAAGTGTATATACATTTTATGCTTTAAGTTTAAGTTAGTATTTATACATCTAGCTTTACTACTTATCTACAATTTGTTTCTTGCGTTCCACATTTTTTGATTTTCTCCGTTTTAACTGGACAGATTTTTCGAATGCTATCTTCCTACAAATTCACACAACAAATCTCTGTTTTGATGATTCCTATACAGAAAAGAAAAACTATATAAAGCCAGAAAAAAATAATTTCTATAGATAGATACACAAACATTTCAAAAAATCATCAAGTGCACTTAAAACCTGGAAAACTAATATGCAAATAATGTTTTTAGATGAAACGTCTAGTACAAGACCTGAAGGAGCAACAAGTCCAAATACTGAAAGAGCGACTCCATTTGCAGAAGATGAAAACGACATTACAGATCCAAATGAGCTTGATGCTAACCTTGAGCCTGATGCTAGTAATTCTTTCGATGACATCAAGCTCTTCATAGGCTCTATGGAAAATAATGTAAACATTATTTCAGACTCTCAAAGAGAAAAAATGAACAATGCTTTGAAAGAATTTGTACAACACAACGAATCGTTATACAAAACCTTAGAAAATAGCTATTTTGAGGAAACTGATGGAATAATTTCGATTTGTTACTACAAATCTGTGATTCAACAAACAGATAAAATACAAAAGAATATTTCAAAGAAAAAAGATAAAAACAATAATGCTGAGCAAGAAAGTACTATGAAACGGGTAAGTCATAAAATAATAATTACTCTTCAACAGGTAAAAATATTTCTAGTTGAACAACCAAGAAAAAACAAAATATTTTTCTATTTGTTATCAGGAATGGTAATATTTTTTGATCGTATTTTTCTTACTTTTATTTATACACTTTCAGCATCAAATTCTAAGTCATATCAGAAGCTAGTTCACAAGGAGTACTAATACATATTATTAATTTGTTTTTCAATTTCTATTGTACTAGAGAACACAAAGAGTTCTTGGGTTTGAATCCTAATCCAGCCAAGAACATTTTTCTTCAATTTTTAATTGGTGTGACATGTCACAATCAATATCCTTTGTAGAAAAACTAAATTTGTTTTCGACTGTTCATCATTACCTGATTCCCATCATTTTGTTAAAAGATATTGGATAATTCATCAAAAAAAGACGAGTCTGTACCAAAAAGGAGGAAACTATCGAAAAAACAAGTTGAGAAGCTCCAGAAAAGTTTAATAGTACCAGTAAAAGAGCTAAAGTGGAATAGCTTTTTTTCGCATAACTATCAACCAGAAGCTGAAGAAGGTGTAATTGCCCCAATTGATTATGAATCCGATACAGAAGATGAAGAGATGTTTGATAATATTAATGAAAAAACTATTGATGACTTACCATCACACATCGAACCTGAGAATAATAACAATCATTCAGATCAAAAACAATTGACCCAAGATTCAGGAATTGATATAAGTAAAGAAATGCTTTTAATTATTTATTCATTTTGTTAAGTTTCAAATATTTTTTAGGTATGAATGAAACACAAGAATCGCAACTAGTAGAGAAATCAGCAATGCAAAATGATACTGCAGAAATATTAGAAGTTCCACAAAATGATGAAACACCAGCATCAGCAGAAACAATAAATAATAACATATCAGATATAAATAAAAACAACAACGTTTTGGAGTATGTATATTTTTGCTCCAGCAATTCTAATTAATTCTGACAATGATTTAATATTTCAGTGATGAAGAAAATGATCCATTAGCACAGCTTGGTGCTAAAGAACGTGAAAGACATGAGATGAGACTTCGAGTTGAAGAATGGAGAAAATATATTACACCAAAACTAAAAAGTTTGGAAGAACAAGAGTTTGACATCCACAAGTACAGCGCAGATATCATAGATAGCGTAGAAATAAACGAAACAAAATCGTTTGCAGACATTATTAGTGGCAAATGCTCAACAGAAGTGGTGAGGTATTTTATATCCTCACTACAACTGGCTAATACACTAAATGTTGAAATTTGTGGTGTGACTCAGGGGGAGCTAGCAAACGACACTTTCCAATTAAAACTGCTGAATAAGGAACAGTATCATGAACATTTGCAGGAATATCAGGCACCTTCGGAAGAAAATTTCAGAGAGAAACTGAAAAAAATTAGAGAAATTCAAAAGCAAAATGAGGTAAGAACTATTTTAAGGCTATAAATATTATTTTAGTAATTTACGTAGGCTCAGCTTTAGTATATCTATAGAGGGTTATTTCTGACAAGTTTTAAGTTAAAATTAGGTGTGTGTTTTAAGAGTTTAATTCGGTAAAATTTCAATAAAATCCAATTAGTTCCAGGTTGTCACTCAAAAGAAACCGCCCTTAAAGCGCAAGATACAAAAAGAAGATCGAGAATTTCTGCCAAAGGAAAATTTCAAGCCTCAAAGCCAGAAAACCAGAGTAAACCCAAAGAAAAGGTGCAGAATATTAAATGAAGGTAATACCGAACGTTCTCTAAACAACTCCCAAGCATCAATATTAGAAATCAGTCAAAAGCGAGGATCTCATTTTCAACAACCATCTACATCTCGGCAAGCTAATTTAGCAGATCAGCCTCAAAAAAATAAGCAGCTGGTGCACAAAGTCCAAAAGAAAAATCAAGAACACCAGCCAGAGGAAGATTGTATGCCTCAAAGACAGAAACTGACCATAAAACCAAAATCATCACGAGTGAACTTCAACGACAATATACAAATTTTGAATTATGATATCAGATCGCCCCCTAGTCAACAAGACAGCTTCCTATTCATGGACACTGACTGCCAAACAACAAAAAGCAGCAGCGGCTTATGTCAGAATCAAGAACTGTATTTTGATCAACCAAGTACATCGTGGCAAGCAGATTTGGCAGATCAACAGGTATTATGTAGGGAGAGTTTATTGGGGAATAAGTATTAAAATGTTCTGTTTTACAATATCGTTGGCTAGAAGTCCTACATAAGATCACTATTGTGCTGTATAAATAGAACAATGCAAAATAAGCGTTTTTTCTTGTAGTTAAATGTAATTCATTTGGTAAAATTCTAATTCCATAATTATTCTTTCCTTATTTGGCATATATGCATATCAACGTTAATTATAATTATTTTCAGGTACAAACTCGCCAAGATCAGCCAGAAGAAAATTTATTGGCTCAAAAACAGAAATTGACGATAAAAAAGAAATCACCAAATGTAAGCTCCAAACAGAAGGTCAGAATATTGAATTATGAGATAAAAACACCCACTCAAAACAGTTTGGGAACTTTCTCAAATGACTCACATACATCAGCAACCACAAGCAGCAATAGTCAGAGATTAGGTTTTCAACAACACTCCACGTTGTGGCAAGCAGATTTGGCAGATCAACAAGAAGAGGTAGGTAGTTGACATATGTAAACTCCTTGAATATTTCTATTTTCACTAAGATATCAGTTTTTCCTTTAAATTGAAACTGCAAATTTTGTTAGTGTCTTCTTAAACGCTGGCCCTATGCTCTTGACAAAACACAACTTTCAAAAAAATCCTCTATTGCTTCAAGTTTTGATTTTGTATCAATTGATTCACACTGTTTCTCGAACATTTTACACTTTGATGGATGACTAAGTATTTTGTGTCCTTTCGTTTTGATTAAAGAAATATGAGGCGTATTTTAGCGAGAGTTTTAAGGGTGTTTATCCGCCTCAAAAATCGACATTTTAAGACGATTTTCTAAGAGTTTTTGACGCTTTTTCGCAAACTTTTTCCCGACGAATTTTGAATAGTCTGCAGATATGTTTCAAAACTAGTCAATGGACTATTTTTTTATTGAGAAAAATTATTCTAGGAATTAATTAGAGCATGTCTAATTTGGCAAAAATAGGTCATCTAGATTGGTTAAATTTCCCCTTTTACTAGTTTTTTCATCAAATAAAAATTTGTAGATAGACTAGAATATTCATTTTTCTAAAGGAATAAGCAAAGTTTTTTTGAATAACATTCGATATAAAAGCAGGATTTCTTGTAGAAAATGGTACTGCAAGCCATGATTTCCGCTCAATTTTACCACTAAGCCGCTAAGTCTATCTCGCTCTTGCAGTATACCTGTCGTACTCTTGCGCCAAAAACCGCGTGTCGCTTCCTTTCGATATTTCGGAATTTATTTGGGCACTTCACAATCAATATTATATTCAAAAATGCACATTTCTTGTTTTGACTATTTTGCGTACAGGGTGGGACTGAATGGATATTTTTAGGTTGGATTTCAAGTTCGCACTTTTTATCTGTGGTCAACAACGTTGATAAAAATTGTTTTAGAATCAATTTTCTCAAGAATTTCCTCGCCTTACCACTTGACATAATAGTTATTTATGATACAAGTGCTAAAAGTGACATTTTATTTTGTGAAAAGGGAAGTTTGGGACACGACGCCGAAGGTGGAGTGTTCCATCCCTTTGAACAAAATAAAATCACTTTTAGCACGAATGTCATACACCATTTTTTCTACAAACGCACTAAAAGTGATTACTTTTAGCACTAGTGCTAAAAGTAATCACTTTTAACACCAGTGTCATAAAATGGCATTTTAGACACTGACAGCATCCGTTAAAAATGACACTTTTAGTGACGTTTGTAGAAAAAGACATTTTTAGGGACAAGGATAAGAACTTTTATTATTTTTCACAAGGGATGGAAAAATTGAAAATAGCGGCTTTAGAAAAAAAAAAGACGGTAACTCAGTCACGAAAACTTATAAGATCTGTATTTTTATCAAAGATGAAAGTCAAAATGACATGGGTAGTAAGCAGTAGTATTTTCTATTTACTTGGGATACTACATGTTAGCGATCATGGCTGACGACATACTATGACTTCACAACGTAAAGCTCGGCTGTAAAGTCAACATGTAACCATCCTACAAGGGATAGTTACTGGTTGTACCTAGTATGTCAGTGCATCTTTGTCTAATACACGAAAATGAGCATACGTCCAAATAGCTGACTAAGATTAGTTCTTTCCATTATCAGGTTTGTTCCAACATGTCAAAAACCGTCCCATGAACGGGTTCGTAACCACTCTGTATACGATTATCTGGTTCTACGCACAAATTTTTGGCTTTGCGTAGAATCGTGACGATACATTGTACGGTTTCTTGATGTGTTGGAACAAAGCTATAAATAGATGATTGTTTTTCCCTATTTTGCCATGGTTTTTTGTGTTTTTTTTTTTTTTAGAAGTTTCTTGCACAAAAATAATCTTCATATGTGCACAAAAGTGTAATTTAAATTTTTTTTTGCAATGGGGTTGCCATAAAATTCAAAAATTCCACAATCCATTGAAAATCTTCATTAGAGAAATAATATTGAAACTCGAAATCGCAACATTTTGCAAAATGCAACAAACCCAAATAAACAACGATCATGGCGTCCTCTTTTATACCCTTTGTCAAATATACTCCACCTGTCATTTGAGAAACTATGACGTCTTGAATCGTAGTGTAGAAGTGTAGTATGATACGGTATCTCGTGCGGTATGATGTTCACTGGTCACTACACTTTAGCATATTGATAGATTCAAATGTTCCTTATGATCTCGATACTCGATGCTGAGAAGTATACTAACGCCTGGCAAAAAAAAATCAGATATTAGTAGTAGTAAATATGCTCTATTGTCCAAGAATACAAAAAAAATTTATTAGATATGTACTTGAAAGAATTATTTTTGTTTAAATTTCTGATAATGTTGAGTTTTCTCGCTTGTATAAAGAAATAATTTCATGACTATTTCAGAGTATGGTTGATTCGGCCATTTCTGACATGGATAGAACTCCAGCAAGATCCAGCTGCGATAGTGGTTTCAATACGTCGTGTGACGACGATTTGCTCGAACAGTTCGACCAATTGCAACAAATTAGTGGACCGCGGATTACGTCAACGCCGCTTCCCTGTAAAGTTTTAAAAATAAAACTTGCCAGGAATGAATTCCCAAGGTTTAAAAATTAATCTTGACCTGCTTCATTTTGGTGGTATTTAATTTATAATAATCTTGTAAACTGTTTTTTTTTTTAATTTAGGCTTAAGCTTATATTGTTGCATGCTATATTTTAAAGTAAACCAGACATCAGGTCAAAATGATACTGATATTTGGAAGAAATATTGTATTTGTTCCCAGTTTATTTTCTATTTCAAAATACATAATCGTAAGTTTCAACTAATTCTATTAAGAAGAACTTTAATAATTTGTGTAGAATGTTATAGGTACTATGTTTACCGCTGTAGTTTACTCATTTTTTTTTCCAATTGCCTTGATTTAATATTTTTATTGCATTTTTTGAGAGGTTTCAACCTAACAATCTTGTAGTTAGTAATTTAAATGTACAAATTTCAAATAGAATAGATACCTACTTACATAATATAATATAAGTATTACATCCCTTAAAATTTTCGATTCTTGAATTTGAATTTGTATGAAATTTAGCTTTGATATTCAGGCACAAATCTGTAAATATTTTTTTAAATTCCTAAATCAAATATTTTTTCTACAAAATTTGTAAAATTACAAAAAAAAGCATTGTCAGATCTCAGTTCAATATAGTTTTTAAGTATCATGATAAAATCTAATACATTTTTCCAAGTTTCAATAATAATTCAATTCTCAATTTGGATGTATTATTGAAGCTATTAGGAAAAACTTACATGAAACACTTGATTTGGATTCGAATCAGTGGCGGCTCATCGTATAAAGCAACTGAGGCCGGGCCTCACATGTAAAAATTACAATAATAAAGTAAAATTTTGAAATAATATTTATTAAATATTTAACGTTTTTCAACTATTTTCAATCATTAAAAGAATCAAAACATCGAATTTTCATTAAAATATAATACTATTTCTTGAATCTAGCGCGCGCTTTTACCTATTTATCCTTATTGGCGCTCAAATCGTTGCCGGACAGCATTAAAATAAAATAGCAATCCCAAAAATTTTGGCCTCATGTGTGTCACAGAACGCCGAAGCGATGCCACGCCACTCCCCACCACAACGCTTCAACTGTAGGTGAGACGATAGCGAATTTTTATAGGCATTGAGGCGCACAATTTTGGGCTTGTTAATAAGAAACCTTGCATCGCTTGCTGCTGCGACAAGTATTTAATTGGTTAATTGGCTCATATTTTTTATTTTGGTCTGTTGCGGGTTAAAAAACTGTTTTTTGGAATTTATTTTGTTAATTTGAAACTCAATATTTGTATTAAAATAAGAATTAGGTAGCTACTGCTGTTGTTTTGCAACTGTAAGAAATGAAAATTTTCATTAGAAATATACAAAAAAAAACATCTGAGATGTTCTTTTGATGAAATTTTGGGTCAAAATTTGGGCGTAACACTTGAAAATTTTGTTTGGGTTTGTTTGGGTTAACTTGATGGGCCATGGGCCTCACCAGTTTGGATTGTCACGAGCCGCCACTGATTCGAATGTAATTTTTAATTATCGCCACTTCAAGGTTTAGTGACAAAATTACAATATATTTTTGTATCTAAAGTTTCCTGACGATATATAAAAAGTATCCTTCATATATTTTATTGTAGAACTAGATTAATGTTTCATTATTCTGTGAAATATCATCTGAATAGCAAATTGTTATTAAGATGGTGAATACATCTTTGTCAATTTAGGTTCAGTGGTTTTTTATGTAATTTTGTTCCGGCTTATATGGTTAGTCTAAGGTTGTATCCCAAAAACTTTGAGATACAATCTTGAAAATAACTTATAAACTGTAAAATAAGACAAAAAACATTAGCTTTAGTGAATGGAGAACTCTAAATCCGATTTTTTATTTTATAAGTTTATTGTATAATATTTTACTACATACTTTACAAAAAGCGGCATTTATTTTTTCTTTGTGATAATTTAATTTGATTAATGATTTCATTCCTCATTACTATAGACAATTTTTTAAAATTATATTATTATTTTATCCAACACTTCACTTGAATATTTTTTAAATGGATTTTTCTGATAATAATTACAAATTCAAATAACTCTCATATTTATTATTGAAATTGGATAGAACGTTGTATTGGGCACGTAAGTTATTACATAAGTCACGCGGGAAAGGTTTAGTCTACGAGCCTACAGGGCGAGTGATCTAATTTTTCTATCGAGCAAAGGTGCGTATAAACCTACACAGTCCATTATTTTATCAGATCCAAGTGTTTGTGTATTTCTAGGGATCTCGAAAGGTTGTTCGAGCAACAAAGGCGCAGCTTCATACGCACCTCAAATAACTATTATTGAAAATACATTTTTTCAGGAATTAAATTATTTTTAAAAATTGATTCATTTATTGTCAGAGTAATGTCGTAGGTATATCAGAATGAATTTATGATTTTTTTATGCTTAATTATCCTAAACCGAATTTTCGCGACGAACTACTTCATGATTTCATGAACACTTTCGCGAGAAACCCATGACGTCATATTTAACTTGGTTCGCCGGAAGCATGGACGCAACTTCTATCCAGCGTTCAAACTCATGACGTCACAAGACAAACTATTGATGAACTACTTTCGTCGCGAAAATTTAGTTTTAGTTTAGTTGAATGTTTTGAGTAAAATTTATTTAGAATTATTAGAATTTGTTTTTGGTTGATGGCTGTTTAAGAAATTAAATTAATATAAGTTGTTCTTCAATAATTATTTATTGTTTCTGATTTTTTCTTAATTCTCTGGGGATCTATAGGATCAAAATTGATAAAATATTTTGATCACTGGTAATTAATTATAATTTATATTATAAGTTTTTCTGCGTCTGCCGTCGAAGGTTGCCGTTGGTCTTCACAGCTAACAACTTAAAATTGATGAAAGACTTGACCGACAAGGTAGAAATGGAACAGGTCTTGGTAGCTTAGTTGGTAGAGCGTTGCACTGGAAATGCGAGGGTCCTGGGTTCAAATCCTAATTGAGGCAAAAAAAATTTCCATCAATTTTAATTTGAACCTCTGCATGCCAAGAAAATCCAATACACTATAATTTATATTGTTGCACAAGCGGATTCGCAGATAAGTGAGATTTTCCGATTATCTTTTTTATCTTCAATTCAGCACTAACTGATTCTTGAAACTCTGGCTTCTAATCTATCACTTCCCTTTTCCCTCGCTTGTCGACTCTGTTTCGTAGCGCATCGTTGCTTCTATAGAATTGTCTGTATCATTTGCTTTCACGTCTTTGAAATTTACTAGACTATTGCGCAGTAAAATTCCACTCGCGAATTTTCTAGTCATCAGACAGTGTTGCAAGATTATTCACAATTCCCCCAACTTGAGAGATTTACAAGACTGTCACTTTTCTTGAAGCTGTTTTTCTAATTACTCTCAAATTGCGTTTGAAGTCTCCTTCTGGTACAGCAATCTTTATTCAATTGTACCCAAAGTCGATGAATTTAAAGCTAGTATTCCAGAAATATAGAAATCCTATATCCTCATCGGCTTTGCGGCCTTCTATTGTTAAATAATTTACAATCCTTTTAGGTGTAGTTCCAATGTCTTTGCTACTTGCTAACTTCGCAGTTCTATAGTTTAAGAATTCTAGGTTGGGATCTTCGTTTTTTTTCATTAATTTCTTCGGTGTTTTCATTGAGAATCCTGTCCAACTTAGACTGGTAGGTACTTTTGCATCTACCTATTTTGTTCCAGCAGAAATCTGCATCATTTTTGTTAGCAAGACTTGGTTGGAAAGCATTTTTCAATGTAGGTATCAGATTTTTTTAAATTTTCATCAGCGGCATTTGTACGGAATTTGACCTGCCTACTTTGGCAGACATTAGGTCTGTTCTCACAAAAATCACAAACCAGTTAGAATACCTGGAAAAACAGACGTACTTCGAAATGTAGTTTATCTACTTCCTCTTAAAGTAAATCACCCTCGGAGTATAAACAAAAATTTTATTCAAAAAAGAAAATAATAATATAATTCAATATTACTAATTACGTAATAAATAGTACATAAACAAAATAAAATCTTATTATAACAGTCTGTTAAGTACATAATATGTCTAATTAATAAAAACAAATAGGTATATATATAATTCTAAGGGGTTATCTTGTTCTTAAACTTTTTGAGAAATTCTTTGGCTTGCTTATCACCTTGTCTGCTTTCCAATGCTTTTAAAGCATCCGTGTCTAAAAAAAATATACAATAAAAACAAATATTCAACGGAAATAATTTTCTTACCAAAACTAGTCGGCCTTCCCAACCATTTCTTGACTTGCGGCAATTCACTTAGAGATTCACTAGTGCACGGAATATCCCTGAACCTAATAAAAGTTTCGCCAATATATTGATTATTGTAACCCAATAAATCTTTATCTTTGACACTTAATAATACCAAACCATTTTCGATTTCCCGTTGCGCGGGAGTCAGGTTTCTGAAATAGTGAAAAGCGTTAAAATAATAAAAACTAATTTATTCTAATAACTTGCATGGTAAAAGTTTCATCGTATAGCGGAAACAGAGTTTTATGATGAGTTTTCGTTTTTGGCTTTTCTACATTTGCAAATTCGTGTTCTGGCAGAAGGTGTATTCGTACAAACGAATCGCTGTTACCTAAAATAAAAAATAAATTTGAATAAATAGCCCATATTTTGAGCTATTAAGTCTTTTTGCGTAAGGAAAAGTATAGCTTTACGCGTTAGGAAAATAACTACATAATATAATGAACGCTGCTGTAAACAGTGAAAGGGATTATGCTACTGCTAGACAACGCATTTTAAAGGTATTATTAAAATAGTCGTAGATAAACAAAGTTAAAACCTAAGGTACGTTTTCACACAATAAATATACAAACATTTTATGAAAATTTGGAAACAATTAACAACACAATACTACAAACAACACAAAATCCAACATTTTAGTAACACCAAATAATAATTGTCAATTGAAAACGCACCTTTCCTTTTGCTCTTTGAATATAAATTAAAATTTTTACCGCTGGAATCCATAACGGCCAAATCACGGGCATTTATAACTTCGATTTGTATTGTATCTCCGTCAAATTTACTTCTAAATGAAATCTCTCCGTACGGCGATTCGGTAAATTGATCGAATTTATCTGCTAATTCTAAATGAACCTAAAAATTAAGTACATATATTTATGAAATAAAATATCCACAAATATGTTAAAATCACTTACTTCGTGAATGAGATCGGAAGTTTCCAGTGCATTAACTCTCAAAACTTGTTCAGTACGTTTTAAGGCATCACAGCTATTGCAGTCAGAAGGGTCTTTGTATACACCCAACATTAGGATAAGAGTTTTATGAAGATTGCTGAAAAATGAAGGTGGTCGACGATTCTAAAAAAAAAAGACAAGAAAACTTATGTTTCATATGAAAACTTTACTTCAAAAACTATTTTGATTTGAAAAGTAAAAATAACGCTATTAAAGCATTATCCATTCAATACCACCAAATACAGAACAAAATTATTTACCTCTAAATTATTTCTAATAAGTTCATTTATAGTTTCACTAAGCGACTCCCAAACAATTTCCAATATCCTATTGAAATTTTCTTCGTTCAACTCTGTATTTAAAGTTCCCAAGTTTTCATCAACATACATCATCAACCGATCTATACAGTTGCTGTCTTGGTCGCACAATTCAGCACCTTCTATTAGCAATCTTTTCATTGAAGGAATCATCTAATGAATACATTTTATTTAAAATAAAATGTACATAAATATACCTATATTACAAATTCTTACCTTATTTACAACCGTTTCAAGTAATTCCACAATAGCATTCCGTACAGTATCAATAGCATTCGATATAACAGTATTTAAAGTGTCTCTGCACCTTTTTTCATCCACTGGACCTTTCAGTTCCATTATTTTTTTGAGAATATCTTCCATGCCTAAATCTCGAGTAAACGGTTCCAACGTTTCTCTTACATAGTCGATATTGTTTATGGCTAGGCACCATTCAGTGGTCACTTCGAATTTTTTCTCGTAGACATTTTCTATGTGACCTAAACCGTCTACTCTGGCGGCCATTTTTTTCGCATAGGACACACAACATTGACAAATGTCCTAGAAGAAAAAAAATGGAATAATAAGCTTATTAGCTTCAATAAATTTAGATAATTATATACTCAAGCCCGTTTTGTAATATCAAAGGAGATAGATAATGCTTTTGAGCCCCAAAGGAAGCAACTGGGAAAAAAGATTATATTTAGCGGGAGATAGGGAAAGGCAGTTAGTGAAACTCCAACTCAATTTCCCAACGTTTCGTTGTTTATTCCAACTTTATCAAGGGTCTGTAAATGGAAAGAAACAAATCGATGAAAACATTAAATAAGTTAAATGAAATTACACAACAAAAAAATATAGGAATAAAATAAAAATACAATAAAAAATCATTCAATCAAGAGCAGCATCAATTACATCAAGATAGTCAAACATAATTAACGTAAAATTACAGTACAGAGAATAAATGAGAACCGAAGCAAATAGGTGTCTACGTTGTCAATATACAAAATATAATATGTCAACTGTATAAATCAATAATCTGCACTGAAGGTTAGAACCAATATGAATTCATAGAGATGTTGTCTCATGCATTTAACATACCTATTACTTATTTAACACTATATTTGTATTTATTCAAAATGCCGGTATACCAAGAGCTGGTATGAACGGAAACTGTTAAAAGATAATAATTATCCGACCAATTTCGTGAATAGGACGATCACTAGGTTTAAACATAAAAGGATTATGGAGTGTAATAATTATAACAATAATGACGTGCGTAACAACAAGAGATATTTTAAATTTCCGTTCATACCAGGTCTATCTAATAAAATTCAAACCTGCCTCAACAAAGAGGAGTGCTAGTATAGAAAAGTTTTTTCCGGCTATAATGCCGTTGTCGTATTTCCATCCTAACGTTTCGTTTACTGCTGCGGTAGACATCTTCAGAGGCGGTGTGGTAGAGGACGAAGTGTTCTCTTCTGTGTTCCTCCGATGACTGGATTCGACGTTGTTGTACCTGCGTTATTTATATCCAGGGTTGTGGGCGTGGCTTGTACTACGCTATTTTCCTTGTCTGGTTCTCGGAAAGGAAGGGTCTTTGGTTTTTGGAAAACTGACAACCAGCTTTTGTTAAGGTTCATGTCCTCTTCTTTTCTGTTGAAGTTGTTGTGGTGTTTCTTTCTCTATGGCTTCTCTGTGGATTCTGGTGTAAAAATGTTTGGTTCTATCCAATGCCATGGTTTGTTTGCGTTAGCACGGCGATTGCTGATCTATCTATTTATCCCAGCTGACAGTTTCTTTTATGCTCTTTTACCCTGGTGTCGATAGAGCGTTTGGTTGTTTCTACATAGACAGATCCACAAGAACAGGGCATTCTATAGACACAAGCCGTTTCAAGAGGTGCCCTAGGATGCTTGGCCGATCTTAGACTTTGCTGAATTGTTCTTGTGGGCTTGTAGATAGGCTTAAAGTTGTGTCTTTCTAGCGTTTGTCCTATGCGATCTGTGACATTTTTGATGTAGGGAAGAAAGGCTCTCCCTGCCACCTGTGCTGGTTCCTTGTTATTCGTGTGCTGTTGCTTCGGTCTTATAATTCTATTTATCTTCTGCTTGGAGTACCCATTTCCTTCAAGTGTTGATTTTAGGTTTTGCATCTCGTCCTGAAGGTTTCTGGGTTCACAAATCCGCGTTGCCCTGTCAGATAGAGTTTTAATGACTCCTCTCTTTTGCCTAGGATGGTGATTGGATTCCTTCCAAGAACAATTCAGCAAAGTCTAAGATCGGCCAAGGATCCTGGGGCACTTCTTGAAACGGCTGGTGTCTATAGAATGCCCTGTTCTTGTGGATCTGTCTATGTAGGAACAACCAAACGCTCTATCGCCGAACACGTGCTAACGCAAATAAACCATGGCATTGGATAGAACCAAACATTTTTACACCAGACTCCACAGAGAAGCCATAGAGATACAGAAACACCACAACAACTTCAACAGAAAAGAAGTGGGCATGAACCTTAACAAAAGCTGGTTGCCAGTTCTCCAAAAACAAAGACCCTTCCTTTCCGAGAACCAGACAAGGAAAATAGCGTAGTACGAGCCACGCCCACAACCCTGGATATAAATAGCGCATGTACAACAACGTCGAATCCAGTCATCGGAGGAACACGGAAGAGAACACTTCGTCTTCTACCACACCGCCTCTGAAGATGTCTACCGCAGCAGTAGACGAAACGTTCGGTAGAAATACTACTCGACCAAGGTATTATAGCTCGGAAAAAACTTTTCTACTAGATTTGACCGGCCGTGAAAGCCTTCATTCTGTATTTAAAGAGAAGTGCTGTTTAGCCTTTTACAATAACTACAACACTACAAGTTTGGATTTTGTACGGAGACGAGCGGATATGGCGCCTTTGTGTTGCAAACTTTGTAGCCATATTATCAGAAAAAGTGGGTATAAAGTAGTGGTGAATGTGGTGTCTGGATGAATCTGAAATGCACTGGGCTGGAGAAGAGCGACATGGTAAATATAAAAAGTGGAAAAACCTCATATTTTTGCACAACTTGCAAAAGTGAGGTGAACCACAGATTAACAAGAACACGTCAAAGAAGTAGCTCTTCTTCTACTCGCTCTGATGGAAGTAGTAGCTCAGATGAACAGGAGGAAACCTATTCACGTACTGTAGGCCGGAAGTCATTAAAAAGTAAACAAAATCAAAATGTAACAATTCATAAATCAAACCAGGAAAAATTAAAATCTTGTGCTAACTCTGAAGTACTTGAAATGAAAAAGATTTTTCAGGATAAATTTAACGACCTTGAAAAATATATGCAGTTTTCAAATAACAACCTAGAGGACCTCCAGAAAACAATCAAGTCAGTGTTGGCAGAGAACAAAAAGTTGAAAAATGAGCAGGAGACACTCAGAAACAAGGTTACCCATCTTCAGGTTGAGATTGATAAACTGAAAGTGGGCCAGAAAAGTCATGAAGCAAGTGACCGACAGAAAAATCATGTTCTGATGGGACTTTAAAGTGATGGAATCAAGGATACTGAAGTGGTGAAAAAAACTGCTCTTGACTCTCAATATTGATGCCACTGAGGGTGAATACACAGTGAAAACCCTGCCCAGAAAAATGCCTTTCAAACCAATTCTGGAAAAACTATCCTCAAAGATAAAAAGGGATGAAATATTGGCGAGTCGAACAGGAAAAATAACATCGACTGAGTTGGGACTTGCTGGTGATGAACGGCCAGTATTTGTTAATGAAGATCTACCAAACGATCTCAGGACGTTCTACAACACAGCTAGAATGTTGAAATATAGCAACTTTTAGGGATAAAAAGGTCTTTTGTCGACAGTCGGATTCGTCAAACGTCATACGTATTGAACACTGTGAACAGGTAGAAAGCCTGAAGCACAAGGCAGTGAGTATCGGAAGCAAAGTTCAAACCATTGACCTTGATGGATCAACAGATAACTGAAACGCACATCAACACATGTCAGTGTAGTCTCATGAACTTGTCATCTTACTTAAAACATCGAAAACAAAACTTCAATATTCTGTATTTGAATGCAAGATCTGTAAAAAAAAAACTAGACTCTATAGAAGCACACCTGGCTCAAATTGAGGGTATCGTTCATGTTATTGTGGTGAGTGAAACATGGGTAAAGCTCAGGAAGCAAAGTTTTACAATCTTCCCAACTATGAAGTAACATACGCATCCCGAACTAAAAGAGGCGGAGGATGTGCAATCTAAAATTCAATGTCGTAAGGAACTATGAATCAAATAATATAAACTACCTTCAGATCTACCTGGCGAAGATGTCCGTCTCCATATAGCAGCAATCTACAATCCTTCAAACAGTAAATATAATGTGAATGACACATTAAGCATATTGCAGAATCAGCTTCATGACCTTAGAAATCAAAACCTGGAAAGAAGGACTCCGCAGCAGCGCTACAAGGTCTGTATCGAAAAAACACTCAATATACCAAAAATTCGAAGAGATCTTGATTCCTTGAACAAAATCTATGATGTTAGTAAAAGCGTGGATGATAACTACGAAGCTATTGTCACTTGTTTAAAAAAAAAAAAAACACAGTTTACACGCAAAAACAAATCAAGATAAATAAAAAAAACAAACCATGGTTCACCCCTGATGTAAAAATGGCTATTACTTCCAATGATTATTACTATAGAAAAAGTAGGCAATATCCACAAAATGTCCACTTGAAAAATAAATGCATCGACTCCCGAAAAAAACTGATAAGGGTTATCGCTACAGCAAAAAAAGGACTTCTATGAAGCTGAATTTGGAAGAGTAAGAGGAAATGCTAAAAAAGAGTGGAAAGTGATAAACCAAATTATCTCTAATAAAAATACGAGTTCTAATAGAAACATAACATCACTGAAAGTTGGAAATCAAAGTTTTGTCAACGCTGCTGCATTTGCGAGAGCATAAATGATTACTTTATCAGCGTGGCAGCATCTTTGGCATCAAAAATCAAACCTTCAACAATGGATCTTAACAAAGAGGAATCACAAGAAGGTGAATGGTCTTTGATGGAGGCCAACTTCTCAGAGGTTTTGAGTGTTATTAATGGTCTGGACCCAAACAAGGCATCAGGTTTCGATGACATAGACATTAAGACTGTTAAACAGTGCAGATTTGAGTTGAGTAGGTAGTTTGCTGAGTAGGTTGTTTAATCAGTCCTTTACTAGTGATATTGTGCCTAAATCAATGAAAGTGGCTAAAGTTTCGCCGCTTTTCAAATCAGGTGATAAAGAGAATCCAAACAATTATAGACCTATAAGTGTGCTACCCGTATTGTCAAAAATTATGGAGAGGATTGTAAACTCTCAGCTTCTAAGGTTCTTGAATGATATAAATTTCCTGTACTTGTGTCAATATGGCTTCCGGGAGTTCAGTGACACCGCTTCGGCAACAGTGGATCTAGTAAGCAATATACAAAAAAATCTGAATAATAAAAAAAAAGGGATCTGTAGTGGCGCTTGACCTTTGGAAGGTGTTTGACACAGTTACCCATAAGATACTTCTTCTTAAGCTGCGAAAATTTGGAATATCGTGGAAGACTTATGGTTGGCTTTCTAGTTACCTGTCAGAGCGGGGACAGTTTGTGTTTTTGGAAGATATCAAAAGGTCAGAAAAAAAGTATTAAATGTGGCGTTCCGCAGGGCTCCATTTTGGGGCCTAACCTCTTTTTGATATACATAAATTCAATCTCCAAGCTCAATCTGTCTGGCGCTCTTAGACTGTATGCGGATGACACCATGTTGGTTTATTTTGATGATTCTTTGGAGATTTTGCAACAAAAAATTACTTGTGACTTGAACATTATCAAACAGTGGTTTGATGCACATAAATTAACTTGAACATTGAAAAATCCAACTATATGTTCCTCTCCGTGCGAAAAATCCATCATTCGAATTTTTGTTAGCGGTGGCGAACTTTGTTTTTCTAAACAAATAAGGTACCTAGGGCTATGGTTGGATGAAACTTTGTCTTGGAAATATCGCACGGAATATATTAGAAAAAAAAATCCGGCTCCTATTGGAGTATTGAGAATACTAAGTTGTATCGTACCAAAACGGTTTTTAAGACCATTGTGGCGGCTATATGGTTTCCCATAAGGAGGAAGTTCATCAGGCCACTTATGATTTTACATGGCAATAAAAAACCTGTATTGCTTGCTTAGGAGATTCTCAACTAAACTTTTGTATAATAAATTCAACATCAAAAATTTGGAAATCATTTATAAAATTCAGGTGTGTAATTTTATTCATGCAGTGATAAAGAAGGATTAAACAATCATCAATAACATTTATTACCAGAAATAATATTCATAGTAACGCCACAAGAACAAACAATCACTTAGAAAAAATAAAGATATGCAGTAATATGGGCAAGAACTCAATTTATTGTAAAGGTATCACAATTTATAATGATATACCAGACAGTTTGAAAGATCTTAGTGTACGTCACTTTAGAGCAAAAATCAATAATTACTTTCTCTAATAATAATTCTGCTTGTTTTTTTTTGTGATTGCTTCTTAAGATCCTGTTCTCACTGTGTCACTCTGTGACTCTTTATATATTTTAGCATAGTAGTAACACTGTACCTATAGTGTGTAGGTATATACTGTATATAGTATAGGAAGAACCTATGTAGAATTACAAACAAATTATTAAGCAAAATTAAAGGATAAACTTCCTGTTGATTACGAATCTAATGTTATCTATGGTATCCCATGTAAAGATTGTGATAGACCTAATAGAAAAAACTCAACAGCCCTTAGTCTTCTTCATCATCACACCAGCAGCCATGAATTTCACTTCTCTCAGCCAACAATTTTCGATAAATAGTCTATTTTCATAAAGAGGAATATTAGTGAAATAATCCATATCAATATTAATGACTCAAATAATTTTAGGACTGATACTAATAATTAAATCTCTTGTTATAGCGGCATTTTGAATAAATACAAAGATAATGCTTAATAAATAGGGATGTTAAATTGACTTTGTGTGTGATGTTATTAATCATAAGTGTTCCATATTAAAATTCACTATGCATTTTATGTTCTATAATGGCTACTTTAACATCCTTGTAACTCTTTAAGATTGGTAAGTGAGAAAAAAGAGTTATATTAATTAAAATCGTGGTTATTGATAATAATTCATATGGTTTTTATGGGTCAAAATCTCATACCATTAGGTTTGAATGAATTAACAACATAGACACCTATTTGCTTCGGTTCTCATTTATTCTCTGTACTGTAATTTTATGTTAATTTTGTTTGTCTATCTTGATGTAATTGATGCTGCTCTTGATTGAATGATTTTTTATTGTATTTTTATTTTAATTCTATTTTTTTTTGTTGTGTAATTTCATTTAACCTATTTAATGTTTTTATCGATGTGTTTTTTCCCATTTACAGACCCTTGCTAAAGTTGGAATAAACAACGAAACGTTGGGAAATTGAATTAGAATTTCACTAACTGCCTTGCCCTATCTTCCGCTACATATATTCTTCATTACTATATCAGGGCGCTATAACCATCGACTATACCAACTTGAAAAGGTTTAGATAGAGGATGAAGGGAGAGTTGCTTCCCCTTGGGCTGAAAGGGTGAATAATCATGAAACTTTGCATTTCCTCGATATTTTGGAAGCAGTTTCATTAGTTTTTCAAAAATCCAAATTACTTACGTCGATGATTTTTGCTATAAAAGTATAGCATCCTTCCACATCAGGCCAGTTGAGTTGTTGCCAAAACGTGTTCACCTTTAAACAAACCCAATATATATTTGAGATTTTCCAAAGAGGAACAAACGCCTAAAGACTTACCTGGTAAAATATTGTAAGAGTATCTACAGCGGAAGAACTGTATTTTACCGTGCTATCAATATGTACAAGTGGATCCAGCTCGACAGCCTTTTCTATTCTTTGCAATGCTTTGTAGACAGCTATATCTAGCCAAGTTGCTACTCCAACATGGAACCACTAAAAATATAACAATTAAAAAAACGAAGTAACAGTAAAAAAAAAAAATTACCTGATGGAAATTCCTAATATGAAAGCTATTATAATCGGCAGGACACAATCCTTGGCCCAAGGTAACAAATCTCTGAATTGCCAAATATAATTCAAACAGTGAAGTACCTTCTGCCAAAGGATCAACTGTAGGATCCTCATTGACAAATCCCTCACCGAATTTATAGTCAGAATTGTCCAAAGTTTTCAGGTTCTTACAAATTTCCCGAACGTCTGGCTCACAAAGGGTCGCTACCCTTGCCTGGTAGAACGTGTAGAGGCATTTAGCGTATTGGAAATTGACATGTTCGATAAAAAACTTATCATAATACTCAATAGCTTTCTGCAAATCGCTACGAATCAACTGAATCATCTGAATCAGATTCTGCAGTTTCGATATCGAGGTACCTCCATTTTCTGTATTATTTTCAATAATATAATTTAACCAATCATTTGCTCCTTTAGATATGGCATCACGTAAAGCTCCTTGTATATCACAGTTGGGACCATTTCCATGGAACGTTATCCATGGATATAAATTTGATGGGAATAGGTCGATGTCTGTGGGGCCCAAAGTGATGATGTAATTGAGGATTTTCAGAACTTCCATTACCTAGCGATAAATAAATGTTATATTATGGTTCTATTGATACATAAATATATTTCAATATTATACAGGTATAATGCTAATAGGCAAATTTCTAGGCATCTATGAAATATGGAATTTTAAACCCAATTCAACAAGTTTCTGAGCAGGAATTTTATAATGTAATGTAATGTTTAAATTTGATTAACATATTCTCAGGTATGGCTAATATATGAACAAAAAAGTGTCTTGAAGCAATTAAAGCCTTTGAAATTTTATGTTGTTTTCAACAAGCCTTGCTAGTAATATAGCTTTCTATGTACCTGTTTCATTATAGTCTTTTCATTTGTAGTCTTCTTTCTTATTTTCCTAATAATACTGAGACAAGAGGGCAATAGCTTTCTAGTAGCTTCCCAAAATAATTTCAAGTCTTCTTCGTTTATAATTTCAGTCTGAAGAGGTTTCAATAATTTTTCGAGCAGTTTCGAAAACAAACCAAAGCTTAAAGGGTGTTTTTGATGAATTCCAGCGTAGACCGAATATGAACATAGAGCTACTTCTGTTTGAGTTAATCCTGATTGGGCTACATGTTGGGTTAGTAGTTGATCGGCCTGAGGAGTGAAGTTTTCGCACCACCAATAAGGAGCAACCTAAAAAATGTCAGAAACTTTAATTTCCTATTGAAAACAACAAACAGAGAAGCTTTACAACAAATATTTTACCTTGGATACTTCTAATTCATGTAACAAAATTATCCTTCTCATATGCCTATGTTCCTGACCAGCCACCTGATTATTCTTGCCAGAACTGAATGAAATTCTAACTTTAAGAACACCTCGTCTTGTGACTTTATTCTTTTTGTCCAATGTGTACCACATAGTCATACCAGAAGCTGGAATTGTCTGGAAAAATCAAATTATGTTAGGTATTATTTTCATTGCACATTTTCACATCTTACACTTAAAGGTATTTTAGCTACACCAATCAGTTCATTCTCATGCTGACCAGTTGCAGCGGTGACAGCAATTTCTTTAACCAATTTGCTCATGCCCTTGACTCCTTTAACTTCAAAAAATTTACCGAATTTCTCTTTAACTGTTTCAGCAGGATCAAAATCCCAAACTTCCAGGCACAATGTATCGTTCACCGATTTGTCGTTGATGGCCAACGCAAAATGCTCTTCCCATATAGGATTCAACGTCATAGTTTTAACTGAAGTGTTATAGCGATGCGATGTATTCGAAGCTAAATACAACGTTACAAACGGATCGCTTAGGCCATTTGCGTCTTTTGCTCTAAGCTCTTTGGCTTCGATTACTTCGACGTTTATTATTAATTCTGGATCTTCTTTTTGTTCGGCAACGTCCATGAGTTGGCGATGTTTGCTGTTGGGTATTTTAAAAGCGTCTTGTGCATAGGAAAATAAAGCTGTTTGGCCGACTTCAAAAGCGACATCGCAACCGACGTTGTGGAGGATTACGTAGAGCATTTCGGTGTAGAGTTCGTCGATCTAGGATAAGAAAAAAATATTGCGGTTTTAATTAAAATAAATTAGGAAGCGGTATGAAAAAATTAAAGCAAGCATGGGAAACCACAGATTTCTACCACAGTTGAACCTGGTGTATATTTATCGCAGCTGTGAAGTGCACAAGAGCAGCATTAGAGTGTCGAATCTCTTTTGGGTATCTGAATTCACTGTTGCTATTGAAATTTTTTGCATTTCTCTATAGGAAGTAGTTTTATGCTAGCGGGATGGTATAGAGGAAATTGTTTTTTGTCAAAGAGCCTTTTCAAAGTTAAAGAATATGTTATAGTTATTACTAAAAGTATAGTAACAGTTATAAATGAATTAAATTTACCATTGTATAGTATATTCTTAGCTTAGAGAGGCAATTGTAGAAGTTTGATTTATTTAATAAAACATATCGCTATCACGGAACAATAAACACAGAAGCAGTCAGAAGAAATGTAAATTCTTCTTTATATTAACTAGCCCATACCAAACTTTGCCCATACAATATTATGTTTTCGCTTCGAAAAAATTTTCTACAAATTGATAAGATAAAATTTAAGGTCAATAATATAGAGAAATATGAATAATTATGCAATATTTCTTCAATGTCACACTTATTATTATCTAAAATACGCAAAAAAAAAGATTGTTTTTCAAAAATATTTATTCAATATTTTTGATTACCTATAGACCTGCGAGAAATTATGTATCACCTGGATGGAGGTCCTGTCCATTTCCTCATCAGGTCATAAGAATAATTATTTGAAATTTAAAAGTGCCAAAGGGGCTAGGTCATGACACTAATATAAAATAAACAAAATCTTCTATCTTGTAATACATATGTGATAAGATTAACAATGAATCAATCTCTCTGACAAGTAGAAGTGGGAACCGCTCAAGACTCCACGGCAGTTCGTTATTTACACAATCAAAAGCTCTGGATAAGTGCCCTATTCGACTATATAGTTATAATATATAGTTCTTATATTATATTATATAGTTAAAATATAGTTCTAGAAAACTGCGAGGCCAATTTAGTTGATCGACTCGACAGGAAGGGGAACGAATAATAAAATGGTGAGATGTAAAGTCCGTAATAACAGTAAGCTAGAAAGAGAAGATATAAAATAGGAACCTTAGAAATATGTTGAACCAAAACGATCAAAAATAGGTACAAAGAAAAAAGTGGGAAAAGACTACAAGATAACAAAACAGGAACCAAAAACTCAATTACATAAATAACGAAATGTCACAAGAAATCCTGAAAACACCAAGTTCAATACAAGGAACAATATACCAAAAGGATGGAAAAATGCCATGATAATATTGATATACAAGAAAGGAGACCGAATCAACTTATGGACCTATCAGTTTACTCTAACATACATATACAGTGTCCGCCATAATGTTCGCTACACATGGGGAAATTTTTTATTTGTAGGATATGGAGTTTTTACTGAAAGTAACGTTGCTGAAAGCACATCTCTTTCTTGATAATCAAAACATTTGTATTGTTCCGAATTTAAACTCTAACAATATGGCTCATTTTAAGCCAGAGTACCTAAGCTGTGTACCACAATTTGACGGAAATCCGAACCATTTGAACAGATATTAATCAGTATGTCAAAGCCTCATTGATGCTTTTTATAACGCTGCTCAACCAAATAGTTTTCAGAACATTTACTTGCTGAACTTGATAATCGGTAAATTGACCGGTAACGCGAAATTAGTTTTGGGAACCCAAAATGTAACAACTTGGGACCAACTTGAAACTATTTTGAGCAGGCATTTTGCTGACCAGTGCGATGAAGCTTGTTTAAATCGCGATTTATTAATGCTTAGATAACAAAATGGTGAAAACCCTAGCCAATTCTACGATCGTATTTTACATATTTTAAATCTTCTATATTCCCACGTGGATATTCATGAAACAAATGACGCCTCAAAATTGCTGAAACATAATTTTTACAATGATTTAGCTTTAAAAACATTCTTATCGGGCCTAAAGTGTTGGATAAACTGATATTCATATCAGTGAAACAAAAATTAATAAATTAAACTTTGATTATTAGCCTATACTTTGCTAATTTATATCGCAGCTATGGATGACTGAATGTGTTTATAATAGTTTTTATATGTAAGGTAAACACATGAGGAATCGTTTACTTAAGAAAGGGTTTGTAATTCTTTGTCTTGATGTTGAGTCAGTTCGTATAGTTATTTCTACGAGTTCACACGCTCTGCTTTCCACTCTGTGTTCGATATAATAAATATATTGAATATCGATAATTAACAAGTTCTTTTATTTCTTAGTCCATTTCCCAACAGGTTATGGGCCCAGTGTACGTTTATTCATTGCGGTTGTGAAAATCGGGAGTGTTTAATCTGATAGTGACAATGGAAAATTTGAAACCAAAAAGAAACAAAAAGGCTTCATGCTAACAGAACTTGAACTTAGATAAGAACACCAGAGCTCAGCAATTTAGAAATAATTATCGTTGAGGATATTTTAAAACCGATTTTAAAAGACGCAATTTCAACAAAAAAATCAAGTCTCTGAAACACAATGAAAAAAGTTAAACAATTTCATCAATTAAAAAAAAAATGGAACTCTTATAACCGCAACCAAAATGGGCACAATTAGTATTCCCAGTAATATGGGCACACAGGAAAGTCTTTGGTATAGGCTGGACTGTCCAGAGGTTCCTTACAATTTGCTGTCCGTAAGAAAAATGCAAAGGGCTAGTATGAATATTGCTTAAAAAAAAAGTGGTAGTATTTACAAAGGCGGTAAGCTTATAATTTATGGGTAAGTCTTTCAACACTTTATTAATAATTGCTCTTGAACTCACTGTTATTGGAAATTAAAAAAAAAAACACTATTGTTTAAGCAAATAGTGACGATTAAATGAAAATAAAAAAATTATCAATTGTGGTTTGAACGATTGGTCCACATTGGTGAGGTTTAAATTAATAAATTATTATAACAAAAAAAAAAAAAAAATAGAGATCGAGGACTTCGCAAATCGATCAGGTTATACAATGAGTATTTATGTGGAGCGTGCATAAAAAAGCGCGACTTCTATTTCAAAAACATTGTAGGTACTGTTTGTGCATGAATTTACTTACTATTGTGTAGGTAACATATTTGATGAGTCATAAGTCATATGTATTTTGTATGTTTCAAGATTCAGTTGCTGAAAGTGGGGCACATTTCAATTTACAGATTTTCAATGTATTCTGTGACAATGAAGGTGAATATCTAGCTACAGAAATGAGAGATTTTTGGTATGCAAAAAGATAAGTCATCATTTGACAATTCCATGAACCCCAGAAATTAAATGATGCAGCTATATAAAAAAAAAAAAAATTGGAGACAGTTTTAACTGCAACATTTTCACTTAGTTTGACCCCTCTAAAACTTTAAAAGAATTTGAAACACCATACGAAATGTGGCGTAGTAAAAAGCCTCAAGTAAAATATTCATAAGTGTTTGGTTCCATAATACCGTTTATAAGTACATAAAAACCAGGAAAACAAAATTTGATATCAAATCCTGGAAAGCTGTACTGGTTGGTTATGAACCAAATGAATATGAAGTGTGGGATGTAGATAATCATAAGTTTGTCCTAGTTAGGGATATTATTGTGGACATAACAAATTGGTTTTTGTCCTCCAAGCCTATTAATCTGCATAAAGCTGATTCCTCTGACTATTTGTCAAGAACAGAAGTTAATAATAAGCTAAAAAAAAGTGAATGTAGAACACTTTGATTATAAAGCTGATTCCTCTGACTATTTGTCAAGAACAGTAGTTAATAATAAGCTTGAAAAAGTGAATGTAGAACACTTTGATTATAAAGCTGATTCCTCTGACTATTTGTCAAGAACAGTAGTTAATCATAAACTTCAAAAAGTAAATGCAGAACACTTATGGTCATAAAGCTGATTCCTCTGACTATTTGTCGAGATCAGTAATTACTAACAAGCTTGAAAAAGTGAATAGAACACTTTATTTGTAAAAGCTGATTTCTCTGACTGTTTGTCAAAATCAGTAGTAACTAATAAGCTTGAAAAGTAAATGTTTAACTTTTATGGTCATAGAGCCAATTTTTTCTGACTGTTTGTCAATATCAGTGGTTAGTTAATGATGTTTGAAAAAGTGAATGCATAACACTTTGGTGATGAAACTGATTCCTTTGACAGTTTGCCAAGATTGCTGGTTAATAAATCTGATAAAGCAAAATCAGATGACCAACCAATCCAAGAAAGTAGCTAACTGTTAACCCACAAACTTATCAAACTATATAATGAATGATTATAGTAAATCTGTGATTAAAACAGATCTGCCAAATGATATCCATTCAGTTTCCACTATAGTCACGATTCCCAAAGTAGTTAAATTAAAATCCTCCAGTGAATTGCATCCAATAAATTTGTTTTGCACTATTGAGAAAATTTTGGAGAAAATGGTGTATATGCAACTTGTTGAGTTTATAGGTAGATAGAAATAAACTATTCAGTGATTTTCAATCAGGGTTTCGAGTAAGTCAATATTAGTAGTTGATAGTGATTATGAAAAAGTGAATGTGAAACACTTTGATGATAAAGCTGTTTCCTCTGATTGTTTGTCAAGATCAGTAGTTATTAATAAACTGAACTGAACTAAACTGGAAAAGTGTCAAAAATGAATGTAACACTTTGGTAATTAGCCTATCCAAAACACGTGACTTTGACAAGCAAACAAAGGGTTTGTGTGCCTCTTGGCGGACATTTTAATTTGAGTTCGACAGCATCTTGGATAGTCTAATAAAACCTTTCCCCTGAAAGTGGCAATTTGTCAAGATCGGTGGTTTAATTATTAAATCTGATATAGCTAAATCAGATGAGTAACAATTCAAGAAAGTAGGTAAATGTTAACCCTAATAAACTCATTAAACTAAATAATGAGTATAGTAAATCTGTGATTAAAACAGATCTGCCAAATGATATTGATTG